GCGAAAAACCTTAGGGGGGGTGCATCAACCCCCCTGTGCCGGCGAGGGTTAACCCGCGCGGGGCTGGGGGGGTAAATTTTACCCCCCCTCGCGAATTTTTGCGATATCTCAAAAACGGCGGCGCTGCGCGCCGCCAAACTTTCAATACCTTTTCTTACATCAGTTTGACACGTTCCCTGAAAATTTGAGCGAAATCCGTCGGAAAGTTTTTGAGAAATTGACGTTTTAGTGACGTCATGTTCGCCATTTTCGCCTCAAAAACGGCAAAAGTTCAAACGCCGCTAACATCTTCATTTTTAAAGGAATCAAGACGTAACAAAAAAGGTTATACGTAATTTTACTTTGTCTATCAAATGGCTATCTCGGTTGTTTGAAAATTTTGGATTTTGGCCTAAATTTTTTCAAAAAACTGTTCTTTGGGAAAATCATTATAAAATCCAAAATTTTGAGTCTATCGAAAAACCCGGAATATATTTCAGAGAAGTGGTCTATGTGCACCTACATACCAAATTTTAGAAGAATCGGTTCAAAAATGTGGGAGTTATTCAAAATTTTATGACGTCACGACACACAATTTTTTTTGAAAAATGACTTTTTTGGAAGTTTTAGACCTCGTACGGAAATAAAAATAGCACCATTCGATTCGCCGTGAAAAACTGCATCAGATAGACACCTTTTGAGGTCTTAACAACCAACTTCAAAAATTGACCTCACTTGACCTGACCTTGACCTGACCTCGACCTGAAATTCATCCAGAGGTGGTCCATATCACTTATTGAGTGTGCCTATTGAATTCTATGAGTAAAATGACCCATAAAACATGTGTCGCACATGCCCTTTTCCATATTTTGTTTTTTGGTGACCTGACCTGACCTGACCTGACCTTGACCTTGACCTCTGAATGATATTGTATGCAATGAATATTGTCTTGGTAGCCTAAGAACACGTTTTGGGCGATCAGTCTCAGTCCATGACTCCATTCTTCGGCAACTACGGTGCAAGGCCGATACTGTAGAAACTTGCAATTTGTACCCTTGACCTGACCTTGACCTTGACCTCAAGCTTTAAATTAAGTACATGTTTTTAGTAGTTCGTGATGAGATCTTTCGATTGGCGTTTGAATTTTCCAAATCGGACCATTAGTTCGGGAGATAACAGGGGGGTAAAATTTACCCCCCCAGCCCCGCGCGTTCGGCTGGAGACCCCAGCCCCGCGCGGGTTAAGGTCCTACTTCATTGGTTGACCTTCCAGGTCAGGTCAATATTCCAAAAGTCGGGAAAATCGGGACCTTCTAGAACTGCGTAAAGTGAAGCTGTTATCGGGTTTTTCAGGGTGCTGATCACGAATATCTGATGTTAGTTTTGATCACAGATGATTTCTTCATGCATTTAGGCCAGATCGGGTCAGGTCAGGTCAGATCAACCATTAGGCGTCCTACCGGCTATCCATAGTAGGTGTCAACTACCACTGACGGCGTCGTAGCATGTCACGAAAGCACTAAAACTACTTTGTAAACGTTCAAATGGATGCTAAATTCGAAACCAGCCCTATCAACTACCCTGGAAACATGTAAAACTCGAAAAAGTGAACCGAGGTCATCAAAGGTCAATGACCTGACCTGACCTTCAGGTTATCTTCACACCCACCGTGATGCATGGGAAGAACATCATTTCACATGTTTGGACGTCTACAATCACAAAAAGACTGGAAACGCGCGGATAATGTGAGCTGACATACGCCAAATCGCGATTCCGGCCGAACATGGTCTCGAGAATCAGGTCACAGGTCAAAGGTCTTTTGGGTCAGGGTCATGAAATTTTCAGAGTAGGTGTAAAACTGATCAACTCGAGGGTGCTAACAGTTTCGTCGCGATCAGCCGCTTTTTGCGCGAGTTATTTGCGAACAACCATGGGGGTGTTCATCCGACCCCCCTACACATGCGAGGGTCAATGCTTCCAAATGCACTTATCGGTTGGTACCGTTTCGACATGGTACACCCTCAAAGCTCGTAACGAGCCTTCGCTCGGGTGTCGCCCCCCCCCCCCCCCCCGCTTCACCGGCCATGGCTGGATTTCTGCACCCATGCACCCACAATGTTCCAGCCGTTCCTACGCCCATGATCATATCTACGTAAAATGAGGTAGAACGAAGCGATAGGTGAGTGCAGAGATGGTTCCCTATATCGTAACAGTTTAGAAATATTACGAAAGGCTTAGTTATTGCCTTTTAACGTTTTTTTACAGCATTCATTTGCAACTATCAGCTTATTTTGATCCTCTATCTATAGTCTTAAAGAAGACTTCTTCCTCAACATCTATTTTTCCTCAAGCCGTTCATGTTTCCTAGAAATAATAAGTTTAATGTTGAAACATTCGTCAGCTCAAATGAGCACCTTCATGTCTGTGCCCATTCCACCTTCATTCGAAGTCCAATTACTCGCGCCGCTGTAGTTCTGAAATGTTTGTTCGACAGAAGCGTGAACCTAACGGTCCGCCAATCAGAGAGTCTGTTCCACATTGTCGACCAATCAGAGGCCATTGACTACGATTCTTGATACTCATTCGTGTCCACATTCTTTGTCTATAGTTCTTTTCGCATTTCCTCCCACACTGACTATTGTTGAGGCCGGTCTAACGAGCCAATGAAGGCTTGGTTCAGGAACGATAAATAATTTCTTCCTCGTGAGGTTTAACGCCAAAACTGAATCTATTCCTCTCCCTCTCTTTCTCCTCTCTCCTATCTCCTCTCTCTCTCTCTCTCTCTCTCTCTCTCTCTCTCTCTCTCTCTCTCTCTCTCTCTCTCTCTCTCTCTCTCTCTCTCTCTCTCACTCTCGCTCTCTCTCACTCTCTCCAACATCAGTCCCTAGTTTCATCAGTCAATTGAAGCAAGCTTTGGTCACCCAACCGAGCACTTGATGCCCTCGAATCTATATGGATAATCCGGTAAGCTAAGACTTAGGTTAAGCCTGCACCTGCATATTTAGTTCAACCTGCATTACTACGCATTTCACTAACCAGCGTGATACCCCTTTCTTTGGTTGGACTGTGAGCGGTTTGGGTGGACATTGCTTTTGGAATAGGAGCGGGGTGGGATAACTGCATGGTCTATGAACTAAGCCTCGCCCGCACAGTGCAGTGCGGGGAAGGAGGGGCGGCTCTGTGGTAAATAATCTGACTACCCCTGGGTAGGGGAGGGAGAGGGGAGGGAGAGGGGGAGGGGAGGGACCGGATGCGGGCTGCGGTCAGCGCCATGATAGCCGCTCTGCATGTGTTGCTGCTGGTAAAGCGTGCAGCCATTCTAACTGAGCTGTTGTTTGCATGTCACTTGTCTACAGGCTGTGTGTTGGTAGCCTGTCGGCTGTCGCCGATGTTTTACACACCCTGCTGGTGCCAGCCTAGGATGCCTGCTGTTGGCAGCGTGTCACCAGTGCATAGTTGGCCTCCGTTGTGCTTGTTTTGGTGAGTTACCCGCGGCCGGGGGATGGAGTGGACCGGATGCGTGCGTGGGTTATGCCCCCCTTCCCTCTGAACCCTGTGTGCGCGTTGTGGTGGTGCGTGTTGTTGTTCTATAGTCTATTCTCACTGACAGGATGTTTAGGGGGTGATCAAGCAAGTTTTAACTTTATCGACTCAGGCATTTGTATTAACCAGGAAACTGAGATAAAGGGATATTACTGCAAGGGGGATGTGGGTACCGGTGTGAAATACTGCAGCGTAAGGCCGTGTTGAAAGTCACTGAATTTCGTGCATTGTGTTTATCGTTTGATATGGAATTGTTACGACTGAGATTGTTGACACGCTAGCGCTGACCTATGTATACTGACATGTATGTACAGTGATTGTACAGTGTGTATAATGCACACAACTTGCATAAGCATTATGCATTTTATCAGATCCAGACCACAACAGCCCTCCACCAAGAGCGTTCCACCAGCACCTTTACACCCTTTGGGTCACCCCATAGGTCACCCCACGGGTCATCCCATAGGTCACCTCACAGGTTACCCCACAGGCACAAGTCATCCAATAGGTCTATAAGGCACCCCATAGGTCACCGAACAGGTCACCCCATAGGTCACCCCATAGGTCACCCTCTAGGTCACCCCACAGGTCACCGTATAGGTCATCCCACCGTATATCAACCCACAGGCCACACTTGTCCGCCAAACTCGGTGTTGGCACGCCTCAGTGGGCAGAGCGACAGCCGCTGCCTGCCATCTGTGCCATCTTGATCTGACTTGGAGATGAGCTTCAGCAAAGGTTCAGTGACTCCAAGGCTGCCACTCGGTGTACTGACCAGCCGTCTAACTTGTAAATGAGCATGATGTTAGTATTTTCTTTATGTAGTCTTATGATGTGCCCTCTGTTGACTGTTTTCTCTGACAAGGCAATTGCACACGCCATAAGAAGATGCTTAGTAAATAGGTACGCGTTGCTGATAGGGCGGAGATAAATAAGCTACAAGGACCCATCCACAAACGCTTTGATTCAGAACCCACAACCGCCACCAGTAGCAAACGGTCCGCATGCCTAGCGCTATCCACACTCCACAGTCCACACACACCGGTAGGGATTCAGGTCAAACCCACAGTACCAGTCTGTGACGTCACCTGATCAGTCGTGACGTCACGATCAGCTGACTGCCGCGGCCGGTGACCCGAACAGCACGTATTGGGTCGGACGGTCTCGGAGCCAGGACAATGCCTGAGATGGAGAACTGGACACAATGGGCTAATGGGGGCATCGGAGAGATGCAAGATAATTGGAATGGTTCTTGTGGGAATAATGATTATAAGAATAGAAAGCAAATTCAAAAGAATAATTGTTGTTGGTTATATAGGTTTATTTAATCCGGAAATGTTCATAATTAATACCAAACTTGTGTGGTGGGTAGCTCTTTCCTTTGCTTTTTTTACTTTTACATGCCATCACCATTGGTCAATTGCATTGACTGCAGACGTTACTTCCGCAACATGTGACGCTTGTTTTCTTTCCTTGCAGGATGGGCGGCCTGCTGGGCAGCCGGCGGCGGCTGCTGCTGTCAGCAGCTGTCCTGCTGATTTCAGCTCGGATCAGCAGAGCAGCATGTGAGTACCCTCAGCAGCTCTCCCGCGTGTTCTCTCAGCAGATGCTTCGAAACTCTCAGTAGCCAACTGTTGTTTCACCTTCTGTAGCTTATATGATAGACTCCTCGGCTTATATTATACCTACATTACCTCTGTTACCAAATAGAATTTAGCAGAGATCCTTTGGTCGCTCTGCAGCCTTCAGGAGCTGTTGCGCTACCTTCAACAGCCATTCTCATACTCTCAGCTCAAGTTGGTTTCCCTTAGCGCCAAAGCAGTATCAGTGAAGTTACTTTATGCAAGTTCAGTCATAAAACCAAGCCTACAGAGCTGAATCCTGTGAATATTGTAAGACAGCTAATGTACATATCGTCGCTGACTAGCGGTAGATAGATTTGTGATTAGTGCTCCCCGCCGTGGGAAAGAGTTAACCTTCGGACGGCTCTGCAGAGCTGCTAAAATGACATTCATCTTACTGTGTCCTTGTCATTCGGGTACATATCCAACGTAAACATTGGCGTGAAATGAGGAAACTGTCAGTCATCACTCAAGGACTGCAGAGTCGTAAGACATGGCTTTGCAAGGGATTGTATGGCATTGGCAAGAGGAAGGTTATATTCGTTTTATCCCAGGTGCAATTCTTTATGCATGCCTTTTAAACGGAGTAACATGAATTCAGCAAAGAAATAGCATTTATGAACAGATTTTAGAAACGGCCCAGTTATTCAACAAAAGGAACTTATTGTTCACTTCAACCCACGTACGCTGGAACAAAACCGGTCTCTGCACGTGTGGGTATACGCGGATCGAACTGACTGCGGCTCTCCCGGTCCAATCCGCGACCACCCGGCTGGTCCGATACCGTCTGGTCCGGTCCGTTTGGTCCGGTTCGGTTCGTTTGGTCCGCGCTGGTTCTGTGGCTAGATATGTGTCACGGGGTCAGGTCGGTAGCCGGCCGGGAGGAGAGAGAGAGAGAGAGAGAGAGAGAGAGAGAGAGAGAGAGAGAGAGAGAGAGAGAGAGAGAGAGAGAGAGAGAGAGAGATGCTGGAGGCGCAGAGAGCACTGATCAGATGGTAGAACTACTGATTGGACATGGGACGGGAGAGATTTTGATTTTAGGTCATCATGCTCTCTGTTTTATCTCCTCCGTTCTCTTTCATCCTGTCTAATCTTTTCGTCTTAACCCTCTTCTTTCTCCTTCTTCTCTTATATCCTCTCTCCTCTCCTCTCGCCTCTCCTCATTTTTCTCCCTCCCTCTCTCCCTCCCTCCCTCCCTCTCTCTCTCTCTCTCTCTCTCTCTCTCTCTCTCTCTCTCTCTCTCTCTCTCTCTCTCGCTCTCTCTCCCTCTCCCTCTCCCTCTCTCCCCCAATTTCCCGTTCTCTCAACTCTCCCGACCACCTTTGATCACCAATCATGCTTACATCCTCCCGGGCTGGAGCAGACTTTTGCCGGCTGACCTCGTATCTAATCAATCTGATCCTGCCCCTCATGGCCAGTTCGTGAACATCTCAAGGGTTTCTCCTTGCATACGATCGATAATAAAGTCCGGGTAGAGTTTCCAATCGTGATTGAATACTCTGCTCGCGGAAGCATAGTCGTGATCCCAATCGCGGGCTTGTAATTCCACGGGAAAGAAGGGTCCCGAATCGTATTCGGGATTCTTCTCATTCTTTTCCATCGTATAGCAGATAAGGTGCTTCTCTCGTTACGTTCCTTTCCCTAGATAGTTGAAGGTAATTGGCAGTTGTTTTTCCGCAGCAAAAGATATAATAACCAGTAAAACGCCTTTTGGGCGAAGAACGAGCGAGCGAGATAGTGAGCCCTGCACGTGCGGAAGGGCGAGAGGGTGCTTCCAACGGGCTTGCGCAAAGCACCCTTCTAACCGGTCGCTAGCGGTGTGCCAAATTTGAACGCAATCGGCCCAGCCGTTCTCGAGATCTGGAAACGCCCCCTGCACGTGTGCACGTGCAGTAGCACCCTAACCGCAACACATGGTAATGCATTGCCTGGTGGGTGCCTACCTGTATGCCAAGTTTCAGCGAAATCGCCCCAGTAATTACCGAGTTACTGAAATGGGAACAAATTTGGCACCTCTTTTTGTTGTATTTTGCACGTGCAGTGGGGGTCACTCACATAGATCAAGAGTATCCTATTTTGGGTAGAAGGGATGCTGCTACCCTACAAAAATTACCGCAAGTCAATCGCCCAAGCGGCTGCTGAGATATGGGCCTTTCAAAATCACTACTTTTGCAAAACAGCTTGAACACCCTTGACTTTTCACGTGGCACGTGCCACGACAGTCACTGAGATGTATCAAAAGTAGTCAATTACGGGGTAGAAGGGATGGGGCTACCCAACAAAAAAGACCGCAGGCCAATCGGTCCAGCGGTTGCTGAGATATAAGCCTCTCAAAAGCGTTACAGGCCGGGCCGGGCCGGGCCGGGCCGCTCATACTGAGATTTTTCCGTTATATTGAAAAGACTCACTTCGCTCGCTGCGCTCGCTCGCTCGTAATAAGGTGCAGCGTCTGAACCGCATTTCTAGGCAATGTGCTCTTCATTTTTGTTAATTTTGTGAGACGAATTGTTATTTGTCATGTCGTGTCAGTTGGCAACGATGCATGAAACCGTCAATTTTGTGAATGCCGAAGCCTTCCCGTAAGAAGGTAAAGACTGTGATGTATACACAGTTTACAACTTGCGCGTTGTGCCCATGCTTATCCAAACTTATGGAATCAACTTAACTGTTTCCTCTATACGCTTTTCAGTATGTGACGTCAGCTCGTCCGACACAGTGGTCATTGTCGACATTATGGAGAGTCTCGGAGACGGTAAGCGACAACTTTCCTCCTCTTTTTGCAGCATGTTCTGTTTGGGCTAAAACGGTACCGAGATGCTGTAATTAGTAACGTGTGTTTCACAGTACAATAAATATTTTTACAGCCACTCATGACAAAAATGTGGGTATATTGGTGTTATAGCGCGTTAGAAATGTGATATTGCAGAGCGCAATGAATGTTCAGAAGGCATATCCAGCTCCTCCGTCCCAATCGTGCTCGTGTTTTCATCACATTTCCCGCACGCGTTTCTATCACGTTTTCGTGCGCGTTTTCAGAGATGGACCAGCCGACCTCCCCTCGTGAGCTGCCCATAGAGGGTTCTTCCGACGAGATTTCCCTCTCACTTCTACCGGACGCCACTAACTTCTTCCGTCTGGAGGGGAAGTCGCTATATCTGGCGTCTCCTCTAGACAGGGATGCTGACGACCTCAGCTCCATTGTACTCAGGGTGAGTTCTTTTGATCTCATAGTGAGTTTCCAGGAAGAGCATTGTCCTGATACGAGACCCAACGTCATCAGTCTGGTATGTGGCGTGCTTAAGAGTTTTGTTTTCCCAGTGTGGACTTAATAGTTCTCACGCGGTAATCTACATGAACTCAGTATATAAGATCTATCGTCAGTCCCAGCATGGGATCCATCGCTCTCAGAGCAAAACTGCGTATAGCTGGTCCGTTAGGTTGTTTTATATCTACGCATTATCAAGGCGATTTACATCGTTCTCATTTCTCACGGTGAGATAAATCGTCTGGACTGTAATCTCACCTCTAAGCTCTTTCATCTCTTCACAGTTAGTTTTAAATGCAAACCAGAAAACGGGTTTCGATTGCGTGTCCGATAACAGCTATCTTACCGTGTAAGCTAATGCCATTTACTCGTTGAGTGTCGAGTGACCGAGGTGAAAATAAGATGAGTGTGAGATAATACCTAACTCATCCTAAGGTCTAACACCTAACGTCTAACAACAGTGCAAACGATGGACGAAGGGGGCAATAACAAGCGATAGAAGGCCAACGGGTTCGGCAGTTTCTTGTTGTGTGGCGACTTGCAATGGTTACCGGACAATCAGTTTAGCCTTGGCAGGTGAAGTAGAAGTCGGGCACTTTTTATCGGACCACCTCACCACAGTGCGGTCGGGTTTGTCAGCTGGTAGATCTGTGGGACTTTGATTGAGCTGTGGTGTAACACAGGACGCAAGCGAAGTTGGCTTGGTCTGTTAGTGGTCTGTGGTCTGATGGTCTGGTCCTCGGATCGGCGTTTTTGCACTGGTCATGCTGTCGCTATCAAAACCTGTTTGTTTCATTCACCTTTTTAAACTGATGAACTATGCCGCAATAAATTATTCATTCGAAATGAATGTTGCATTATCTTCAAGTATTTGTTTCATTCCCGTTGCTCATGAGCAAAACAGACCAAAACACCTCATAATCACCTCAACTGAAAAGCCACGATGATTATGGATGTTGTTGTATGTATAAATATAAATAAACACCTAGCCAGTGTAAGTTACGAAACCTTGCTTAGCAAGATGTAAAAAGTTTTCAAAGAACTCTCACTCAGTGCCCATGAATAATTTTTCCATCCGTGGAGTTTTTTTAAAAATAGAATCTCGTTCACATACTGCACTGTTGTCCGGTCCTTACTAGTCACCACCGCCCGTCAGTGAAAGACTGTCTTCGTGATGCGCGTCGTGGTCCGCTGAGCGCCTTTTCACCTCGTTAACCCCGTTTGACCCCTGCCTTCCGTGCCGTATCTCTCCATTGTCTTACCGTCCCTCCTCCCCTCCCCAGCTGGTGTGTGGGGAGAAAGACATCGGACCCCGACCCTACACCCTTGGGTCAGCGTCGGCTACCGTGACAGACGGTCCACCTGGCTTCCGGTCCCTCCCCCTCCCTCTCCTCCCCCTCCCCTCCCTCCCCTCCCCTCCCCTCCCACTCCTTTTTTCGAGCCGTTTGACCGCCGACCCCAGGCGTTTCCGCCTGCCCGCCCGCCGGTTTGTTAAGTTCAACGCACATTGCACAATGCGGTGCTATTCTGAACTTAGCTCAAAAGTTTGACTCGTTACGTCTGTAGCCTTACAATGGCTGACAATTAACCATTTTTTAGTCTCAATGTCCGTGCTGGAAGTTATCGGTCTTGACCCGTGTAGTCCCTGATAATTGTGCTTGAATTTGATAGACATATTCAGCAGCTAGCCACTTATTACTGAACAGTAAACATGTTTGTTCCCCAATGACACCTAACTATTCTAGACGACCTTTTACCGTGATGACCCCTTGTGACCTTTGGCAAATCACAGCTGACCCCTGACTTGACCGCTTTGACCCAGGTGACGACTTCTGCTGACCCTCACCCCTCGTTTCCAGGTGTCCTGTCAAGTACGAGCCAGCGGCTACCGACGGACAATACCGGTCATCGTACGGGTAACGGATACCAATGATAACACACCGGAGTTTACCCGGCTCCCCTACAGGACACGGATACCGGAGGTGAGTAGCGGGATCCGGATACCGTCCGGGTCCGGATAGAGGATAAATTCGGAAAGATATGTAGTGGAGTTTCGGCATGATATAGGCGTTTTGGGACCGCTCGAGTTTATGCGTAGGCCTTATGTAATGATACGGTGGATAAGAAAAGTTAGTGGCCTTTTACGATTCCTGAATAAAAACTTATCACTAACCACACAGCACAGCAGTCGAGTTTGAAGCCATTTCGAAGCGTTGTTTTGTGTCTGTATTTATGCCTTTTCGATATCGGTACCTATCCGTAAAAAGTAATATAGGCAGCCGGACAACAGCCAAGCCAAGCTCCAGCACGTGCGCATAAAATTACCGTCACTTTTCCGACAATCTCACATTTTCACACCTCACCACTGCCTCGCTTCTCACGGAACTCCGCCCAGACCACCTACATTCCATGCGTAACGCATCCATCACCCTCTCTGGACCGTCACGGATGTTACGTCACACCGATAGTGTCACGTGACGGCACTCTCTGTTTCGGGCGCCCGATCCGTGACGCGCGCGCGTTCGTCACGCCCCTGAGATGCTGTAATGTTACGCTGTGATGTCATATGTCGTTGGTGGTGTGACTGTGGGTCATACTGTGGCCGAGTAGATGGTTGTTCTCAGTGTTTGATGGTGGACAATGTCTCATTCCGAGCTTACGCTCTCTCGGAACTCAGCTAACGATATCTTAGTAATCGCTGAGGGTTGTCGAAAAAGTCAACGCCCAGTTCGAAGGAAAAATGATTGGAAAAAGTCATTAAGCTGGCACAAGAGTATGTGTGGAACTGCACCAGAGAGAATAATTTGATTGGTTGTTTGGTAAGATAATTTTACGACCCATTTTTGTCTGTCCACTTATCAACTTTCGCAAGTTCGGGGTCATTAATCATTAGCGTTATAAATGGAAGAAGAGAGGTTACAGACGGATAGAGGGTCACTGGATCATGCAGACTGGCAGACACAAAATGACTCGGCAAAATAGGAAATATTATACCACTGCTGTGTTGTGTCAACTTATATCAACGTTCATAGGCGGCGGAACGGGGAGGGCACCGGGGCACTGTGCCCCCCTTTGATTTTGGCATTTTAACATTAGCCCTATGGGCGTTGCATGGAAAGAACGGGACCAAAAGTCGGCAGTGCCCCCCCCCCCCTTAATTGAAGGTGTTCAGCCGCTACTGTCAACGTTCCCGAGTCTTCACTTATGACAGCTATGGCTAGCAGGCTACCTTCCCTTAAAGGGACCCTCCCACCTTAACATTAGTTTTGAGTTGAGATAGCCAAATTGGTGGCCATGACCTGCAAATACCGGTTTGGACACTCACAACATCGAAAAATGCTTTAATTCGAAGAAATGGAATTTCAAACTTGCAGTTTTCGGATTCTAAGGGGCTAATGCATTGGGATGCCCCCTTAGAATTTGTGACGTCAGCGGAGATCTAACGATTTTTAAATCATAGACTAAAACCATCGTTAACACGTGGTGGTATACGCTGCTTTGCGCGCAACGTCTGCCGCACTTTAGGGCTGCCAAATTATTGCTTCCAAATAAAGTCGCTAGTAACAGGGGAGATCCCAAAAAGTAAACAAAAGTAAAAGCCTAATATCTTGAAAACCAGTGAATATTTTTCGGTGAAATTTGGTAGATATTCGTTTTCGCTCTTTCTGAACCAAGGGACATCACTTTCATGCCAATTCATTAACTTTTTTGAAGGTGGGAGGGTCCCTTTAACACGCGCAGTGCAGTGGAAGGGTTGCGAGTACCTACTACGCCCAGTGGAAGGGGGGGGCGGATGTCGCCCCCCCCCTAAGATCTCAGCTCCCAGTGAAGCTAGAAAGACGAAATTTGGAGGGTAGGTGGGGGCAATGGGGAACTCTGTTGTGTGTGAATTTCATGACCCTAGGTCAATATCTTCAAGGTCAAATGAGGTCAAATGTGGTCAAATCTGCCATATTAGCGACTTTTTTGCGTTTACACGCCGATAACTCAAAAATTTACCGGCCGATTTTTTTAAATCTTTCACTATATGAAAGAACAAACATTTGTGGGTATGTATGGTGAATTTCTAGATAATCCAACAATAAATATGGCAGTTAGAAGCCTGCTAAGGGTAAGATGTCGCCGGCTGAAGCGGCATCGGCCGACGCGGGAAACGCGGCAATCACAATTTTGTGTTTACACACTCATAACTCAAGTTGTTACCGGCCGATTTTCAAAATTCTTTAACCATATGATTGCCTGTACATTTCTCAGTCTACTCACCGAATTTGACGCGAATCTAATATAATCAGCGGTAAGGAGCGCGATGTAAAGACGGAACCGTCCCGCCCCGGCACAGTCTACAATTCAGGCGGCGCGTAACGGCTAACGCCGGCCGCCGCGCCGCCGCGCCGCCGCGGCGGCAGGATGTTTGACTTTACACCGCTATTACTAGAAAAGTTGTGAACCGATTTTCTTACTTTTTGCACGAGAAGATCCGCAATTCAATTCTGGACAGGTAGCCGAAATTTCACATTGATATTATGCTTGCGGCGCGAGTTATTGGCGAAAAACAGGAGGGGTGGGCGAAATCCGCCCCCCCCCTTCCACTGCGCGTGTTAATGTTTTGTACGCTAACAGCCCTCTCCATTTCCCAGAACACGGCAGTGGGAGAGGTAATTTACCGCGACATCGAGGCGACGGATCGGGATGCCGGTATCAACGCCCTGCTCCAGTACTCGCTGGTCCCTGGCGATGGTGGCGCCACCGACGGATATGGACGGTGAGTTTTGGAAGCTTTAGTAACGAACATCACCGCCGCGACTGATTTGATGCAGAATGTGTTACGATTGCGAAATGCGAATATTTTTTGGATTTGTGTTATAACTTTCAAGCGATGATGCAGCTGTTTCTCTCTGCTCACGGTAGAGGTGTTGCTGAATTCCCTATCTCAATGGCGACTAGGTTTGCCTATTAAGAACAATTTGAGGCTGTTTTGGTCCAAATACACGGTTTGATTAAAATTATTAATAAAATTTTTAAAAAAATTATGTTAGGAAGACATTTGTTTAAAAGTTCATCGTCATTTCCAAACCCACTTGTCACTGTCACATCTTTCACTCGTTAACCCGCGCGGGGCTGGGGTTGTGGTGCTGTGGGGCAGTTCACCACACATCAGTGACTGGATTTTACGTTAATCAGAAATGGAAAATATCAACCTGGTGCGTGTTCCAAAAATTCAATCAGTTCGATCCAAACGGCCCCAAGTAAAAGAATTAATTTAAGAGCGGGTTGTTATATTTAAATTACCAAAACGAAGTCAAAAACCAAAACAGCGAATCAGACAATGGAGCGACGAAGAGACGAGAATGAAATCCAAGTTTGCCAAATATGCCCTGCCTAATCTAAGTTATAAATCCCGGACAGAACGGGCCAAATCGCGGAGCCAGACGTGACGCGTCTGCTCGGGCCAAGAGCTCGGCCAGAAGTCCCGGGGTAGCGCGCGGCCCGACGCAGCGGGCCGGGTCCAGACATGCGCAGAAGCACTCGGACACCACGTGGCTGCCGATCGGAGCGCGGATTGGTCACTGGCCGACGCACTGCGGCAGCGCAGGCCGCAGACACGCGGTCGCATCGTGATGGGACAAAGTTCACGAACAGACACGTCCTGGGCCGCCTCCCCAGCGCCGGGGCGGGGTAGCGACGTCACAAGTCGGCGCGCGAATCGGTCTGCGCCGGGAACTCCCGTGCCGGCCGGCGACACACGTGGTTACCACAGTACTCACCGCCTCAGCGCGGAGCGCATACACGATAAGCCAAAACAATCACTTTTCACATCACTCGGTGCGCGACGCGATCGACACTTCACTGCGCGGCGCAATAATCACTACACGGTACGGCGCAACGCAATTGTCACTGCACGGTCCTGCGCGACGCAAGAATCACTACACCGCGCGACGCAGTTATCACTTCACTGTCGGCGCCACGCGATCAGGATCGTCCTCGAACGCACGTACGCGGGCGCACTTAAAAGTATCGGAAGTCCGGTTGCGGCCGGAACTGCACGCGGCGGCCGCTGCGGGTGTGCACCGGCGCAGCCGCGGAAGGCTTGTCGTCCTTGGCCGGCGATGCGGAAGACGTCACTCCAGGTTTTGAAGTCCTCTTGCTGGACGGTCTTGTAGTCGTCGGCGTCTGTGTCGGCTCGTCGGGCGCCCCAGTGGCGAGGGGCCCGAGCGAGGTCGACGGTGACGGCTGCTGCTCCGGAGCCGTAGGCTCGGTACTGCTCGGACCAAGCGTGTCCGCAGATGGCGGCATGTGTGCCGGTTTGAGTCTGTCAACGCTTACAGTGTCGTGGGCGCCAGTCGGCAGCTCCAACGTGAACACTTTAGGGCTGCGTCTGATGACTCGCATGGGGCCGCGGTACGGGGACTCCAGAGAGTGCCGCACGCGGTCAACGCGTACCCACACGTGTGTGCATGTCATGAGATCGGGTGGCACGTGCGTCGGTGGTGCGCGGGCGTGGTTCGAGCCCTGTGAGAGTGTGACGAAATCGATTTCTGACATATGCTTTGCCAGTTCTTGGACGTACTTTGTCCCGACGGGGACCTTCTCGACGGCGCAGCGGGGAAACAGCACCTGCGCGCCTGTGACGGCAGTGAATGCCGAAAAACCCGACTCTGCTGGCATGGCTCTCAAACCTAGCAAAACGACGGGTAGCGCGCGCAGCCACTCTTGCTTGCGCGCCCGGATGGCAGCTTTGAGCGTTCGGTGGACTCTTTCCACCATCCCATTACATGTCGGATGATAAGCAGTGGTTCGGAGGCGATGGAAACCTATCATTGAAGACAAGTGTGAAAACAGTTCTGATTCGAATTGGGAACCGCGGTCTGTGACAACATGCAGCGGAACTCCGAATCGGGACACCCAAGTGTCGAGGAAAGCAGAGGCTACACTTTCCGCGGTGATCGAGACCAACGGCACGGCCTCGACCCAACGCGTGGCGCGATCGATGCATGTCAACAAATAACGAAATGGCGCGGTGAAGGGGTGCCCGTGGGGTACTGACGGGGGCAGCGGCCCGACTATGTCTATATGTACAGTTTCGAACCGCTGCGAGGGCACATCGAATCGACCGGGCGGAGAACGAGTGTGCCTGTGCACCTTGGCTTCCTGGCATGCTTCACACTCCTTCACCCATCGCGCAATGTCACGGCGCATATCATGCCAGAAATAGCGAGAGCTGATGAGACGGGTGGTGCCTTTCCTACCCGGGTGTGACAGGCCGTGGAAACGATCAAACACGGCGCGCCTGCACGCCTCTGGTACGTACGGGCGTGGATGTGGTCCAGTGTTTTCACACAGGACTGTGATGTCGCCAGACAGTGTTACTGGCTCCAATCGGGAGGTGTCCTGCGGGTTTGAGCGCGATCCTGGACCTGACTCGGAATCCTGGTGCTCTGAATCGGCACTGTCGGCGTCTCTCTCCTTTTCCTGTTTCTGAGCCGCCGCGATAAAATGGAGGTCACATGCATCGAGGGACACTGCATTTACCGGGCGACTGAGACAGTCCGCCACCACGTTGTCACTGCCACGGATGTACGAGACCTCCGTGATGTATTCCGTGATGACACACCAGTGGCGCTGTTGGCGGTCAGACTTAGCCGTGTGCGGGCTGTGAAAAGCGCGCACGAGTGGCTTGTGATCTGTTCGCAGGATAACGTGGCGGCCTTCGATCATGTCACGAAAATGGAGTGTTGCCAGATAAGCCGCGAGTAGCTCTCTGTCATACGCGGCGTACTTCTGTTGGGCCTGACTGAGCTTCCGTGAGAAGAAGCCAATGGGAACGGGTACTCCGTCCACAATCTGATGGAGCGCGGCACCCACCGCGACTTGTGATGCGTCAGTAACGAGCTCGTACTGCTCGCAGTGTGGCACTGGGTGTGGAAGAGTGCAGGCGCCGGCCAGCGCCGCTTTACTGTCACTGAACGCCTGAGTCTGTTCCTCTGTCCACGCCAGTTCTTTGCTTTTTGGGTTGAGTCGAATCAGTTCGGTCAGGTGGAACGTGACATCGGCGAATCGCGGAATCATACGCCGGTAGAAGCCGATGAGTCCCAGATAGCGACGCAGTGACTCTGAGTCATGCGGTAGAGGGAGGTCCAGAATCTCCTTCACTCTGGCCTTGGGAGGTGTGACACCTGTGCTGGTGACGTCATGACCGAGGAAAATGAGTGACTTCTTCATGAACTCGCATTTCTCCAGTGAGATGCGAAGCTTGTGCTCAGCCAGCTTGCTGAACACGAGGCGCAGATCTTTCTCATGCTGCTCCTGGTTCTCGGAAAATACCAGGATATCGTCAAGATAGACGAATACGCACGGCACGTCTCGGAAGATGCCGTCCATGACCCTCTGGAATGTGGCACCTGCGTTGCGAAGCCCCATTGGTATGAAGGCGTATTCGTACAAGCCGAAGGGCGTGGTGACGGCCGTCTTCTCTGAGTCAGCTGGGTTCATAGGCACCTGGTGATATGCACGGAGCAGATCGATTTTGCTGAACCACTGAGCGTTGTGGAGCTTGGTTGAGAGGCTCTGAATGTGCGGCAGTGGGTAGCGGTCCGGTTTGGTTACGGCGTTGAGCGCGCGGTAATCACCGGTGACACGCCACTCACCAGGGGTACTCTTCGGAACCATGTGGATGGGTGAGGCCCACGGGGACCTAGACGGACGAATCACTCCTGTTTTGAGCAGCACATCGAGTGCTTGCTTTGCTGCAGTTAGTTTGTCGGGCGGCAGCTTGCGTGGGCTGGCGAACGTGGGTGGAGCGCTGCCGGTGTCGATGAAGTGAGTGGTTTTGATTGGCGAGTCTGTGTACTCCGGCTGGTTAGGGCTGAGAACAGCGGGGTGATCCTCTAGGATGGGCCGCACTGCCTCAGGCACCTGAGCGAGATCATTTATCACCAAATGAACAGACTCCCCGGTCGTCGGTACACCGGGAGCAGAGAGCAGAGTGGTGGAGTCGCGGAGAACTTGGGAACCACAATCGACAACCAACGAGTTGTGAGCGAGAAAATCGTTACCGAGTAGTGACTCTGTCACTTCAGCCACTACAAATGTCCATGTGTAGCTGCGTCTGAGTGTGGGGAGGACAATATCGAGAGTGGCCTCGCCATGCACGCGCAGTGGCTGCCCGCTGGCAGTCGTGATCGAAACAGCGGACGGGTGAATTAGAGTTCCATTCACATAGGAGGGTGGAACCAGGGATACACCAGCGCCAGTATCCACGATGAATTTCAGGGGCTGATCATTCACCTTGGCTGTTACCCTAAGGAGCGGCAGGCCGAGGGCTGCGTTTACGGCCTGCTCCTCTCGTTTCCCGACTCTGAGACTGCACGGGAGGGAGATGCAGCTCGTGAGGACGGCTGCATGGTCAGATCAGCAGCTTTGTCGGGCCAGTGACACCATGGCTTGCAAGTGCGTGCTCGGCTGCCGAAAAACAGGTGAGAACGGCATACTTTCGGCTTCTGGTCAGGGTGGAACGGCGTGAGACCGAGAGACGCCCTGGAATCACGAGCATCACGAGCAGGGGACTGTGTCGCGGCTCGGCTCTGCGGCTGAGTGGCCCTGTGGTACCTTGGGTGCTGCTGAGCCACAAAGAACGCCTGTGTGTCGGACTGTGGGTCCTGATCCTGACAGTGAACCATGTTAGCAGCTGAGTTTTGCACAAGAGGCATCAGTTCGTCCGCGAGTTTGCCCAACTGCGACAATGAGAGCTCGCGCTGAGAAGCCAGGGCCGTAGCAATGCCTGTAGGTAGCGACTGGATAAATTTGTGCCGAACGAGATCGTCTCCGACACCAACCTTGTCGGCCACCTCTCTGAGTTCGCTTAGAAAGAGTGAGGGTCGGCCCGTCAGACGCGTTTTGCTGATCAGTTTCTCAAACATCTCTGGCTTTGTCTTTTCGTACATGTCAGTGACGGCTGTCTGTAGCTCAGAGAAATTTTTGTTGCTCAAGACAGCACGCGGAATGTGCGAGATGGTTTCCGGAGGCAGGGCAGAGAGAACGTGGTAGAATTTGGTCTGCGAGTTGGTGATTTTGGCAATGTTAAATTGGGCGTCCATAATAGCAAACCAGCCGTCAACCGCGGTGTCCATAAAAACCGGCGGCTTGATCGAGACATGATGGACCGGCTCAGCATGAGCGGGTTCCATCGTGCCCTCGTTCGTCATGATCGTTAAAGTGTAGCCGGTGTTTGCAATGCACTGAACAATTAAAATTTAAAACACCGAGTGCAAAATCCGAAAGAGTCAATGGAACGCCGAAATAAAATCACCGAGAAGATAAATGCCTAACTAATCACACGGCGGAGAGATGGCACAGAAACCATCATGGAAAAGTGGCGCAGAAGCCACTGTGGAGCGACGGAATAGCAATCCATGTGGGGGAATAATATAATATAATTGATTCGGGAATGAGCGGAGGCGACAACCCGGAAGTATGGAAAAATCGAACAAGAATCACGTCGGGGTCACCAATATGTGGTGCTGTGGGGCAGTTCACCACACATCAGTGACTGGATTTTACGTTAATCAGAAATGGAAAATATCAACCTGGTGCGTGTTCCAAAAATTCAATCAGTTCGATCCAAACGGCCCCAAGTAAAAGAATTAATTTAAGAGCGGGTTGTTATATTTAAATTACCAAAACGAAGTCAAAAACCAAAACAGCGAATCAGACAATGGAGCGACGAAGAGACGAGAATGAAATCCAAGTTTGCCAAATATGCCCTGCCTAATCTAAGTTATAAATCCCGGACAGAACGGGCCAAATCGCGGAGCCAGACGTGACGCGTCTGCTCGGGCCAAGAGCTCGGCCAGAAGTCCCGGGGTAGCGCGCGGCCCGACGCAGCGGGCCGGGTCCAGACATGCGCAGAAGCACTCGGACACCACGTGGCTGCCGATCGGAGCGCGGATTGGTCACTGGCCGACGCACTGCGGCAGCGCAGGCCGCAGACACGCGGTCGCATCGTGATGGGACAAAGTTCACGAACAGACACGTCCTGGGCCGCCTCCCCAGCGCCGGGGCGGGGTAGCGACGTCACAAGTCGGCGCGCGAATCGGTCTGCGCCGGGAACTCCCGTGCCGGCCGGCGACACACGTGGTTACCACAGGGTCTCCAGCCGAACGCGCGGGGCTGGGGGGGGGTAAATTTTACCCCCCCCCCCCTGTTATCTCCCGAACTAATGGTCCGATTTGGAAAATTCGAACACCAATCGAAAGCTCTCATCACGAACTACTAAAAACATGTACTAAATTTAAAGTTTGAGGTCAAGGTCAAGGTCAGGTCAAGGGTACAAATTGCAAGTTTCTACAGTATCGGCCTTGCACCGTAGTTGCCGAAGAATGGAGTCATGGACTGAGACTGATCGCCCAAAACGTGTTCTTAGGCTACCAAGACAATATTCGTTGCATACAATATCATTCAGAGGTCAAGGTCAAGGTCAGGTCAGGTCAGGTTAGGTCACCAAAAAACAAAATATAGAAAAGGGCATGTGCGACACATGTTTTATGGGTCATTTTACTCATAGAATTCAATAGGCACACTCAATAAGTGATATGGACCACCTCTGGATGAATTTCAGGTCGAGGTCAGGTCAAGGTCAGGTCAAGTGAGGTCAAATTTTGAAGTTGGTTGTTAAGGCCTAAAAAGGTGTCTATCTGATGTAGTTTTTCACGGCGAATCGAATGGTGCTATTTTTGTTTCCGTACAAGGTCTAGAACTTCCAAAAAAGTCATTTTTCAAAAAAATTGTGTGTCGTGACGTCATAAAATTTTGAATAACTCCCACATTTTTGAACCGATTCTTCTAAAATTCGGTATGTAGGTGCACATAGACCACTTCTCTGACATATATTCCGGTTTTTTTGATAGACGCAAAATTTTGGATTTTATAATGATTTTCCCAAAAAGTCAGTTTTTTGAAAAAAATTTAGGCCAAAATCCAAAATTTTCAAAAAACCGAGATAGCCGTTTGATAGACAAAGTAAAATTACGCATAACCTTTTTTGTTACGTCTTGATTCCTTTAAAAATGAAGATGTTAGCGGCGTTTGAACTTTTGCCGTTTTTGAGGCGAAAATGGCGAACATGACGTCACTAAAACGTCAATTTCTCAAAAATTTTCCGACGGATTTCGCTCAAATTTTCAGGGAAGGTGTCAAATTGATGTAAGAAAAGGTACTGAAAGTTTGGCGGCGCTGCGCGCCGCCGTTTTTGAGATATCGCAAAAATTCGCGAGGGGGGGTAAAATTTACCCCCCCCCCAGCCCCGCGCGGGTTAACAGCCGTTTTGACACAAAATCAATCTTCATTCTGCATCTTCTTCCCCAGGTTCAGCATCGCACGACCCCACCAGGGTGTGGTGACGCTGACCCGTCCCCTAGACTTCGAGACCACCAACGTCTACTATCTGAGGGTAGTGGCCAGCGTAAGTATGGGGAAGGGAGAGGATGTGGTTCCCGTGGATAAAGTTGGAGGGTATAAGGCATAAGAGTGAGGACGAATGGTCTCGCGATTTGCAGCTATTCGTAGATCGGATTCAGAATTGGTGCGTGCGTGTGCCCGGTGCGTTTTCTAAGTGGAAGGCTAAATTATTTAAGGTGACAATGTCTAATCGTTTGATGTCGTCGTGACTCCACAGAGTCCAATATCGACCCAATTAGACCTAATTATGGCGTATATCGGCCCCGTGTAATCTTCACGACCTTCCGCTGATCACATGCAACCTCTGCTTGACCTCATTCTGACCCGCCGCTGACCCCGTATGACCTCTGCCTGACTCCACTCAGACCTCCGCTGACCCCTATGACCCCATGTTACCTCACTCTGGCCCCCCGTGCCCCTCCGCTGACTCCCTATATGACCCCCGGCCGTCGCCAGGACCAGGCGCAGCCGTCGTCCGCGCGACGTTCGGCCACCACCACTCTGACGGTTCAGCTCGACGATAGCGACGACCTGGGTCCGGGATTTGTGGTGGCCGGCTGTCGGCCTAGTGGGCAGGAGTGTCCGCTGCCGAGCTACAGAGCTACGGTTAGTACATGCATGCGAAAATTGACAAAGATAGACTGACAGAGACAGATAGACAGACATACAGAAAGAGAGATAGATAGACACGAATTCATGCGTTTAGAATATTCCCCGATGCGAGATAATTGTAGACTTTTCTCCTAGAAATACCATTTGAGCATTGGCGCTTTCCGAGTTATTATTGCCGTTACCGATTAAAGCATCCGACTCTCGGCTAGAGATTAGCTTCCAACGCACCGTAATATTGTAATGTCGTTGATGTCAATAATGTAAATATTGTCAATAATTATGAAGTCAATGACCAGTGTTCATTCGGATGGCCCAGTTTCACTGGTATGCCCTATTGACCCTCATTTTTCCCAGTGACAACTGTTCCTCGCCTCCTCTCAGGTTGTCTCCAGGGAGCTGTCTGGCGTTCTCGATGTTCGACCAGAGAGAATCCACGCCGTCGATAGGGATACTCTCGGAGCTGATATCGAGTATAGGTGAGAATGAATCGAGTAGTGTTGGGAGTGAATTGAGTGGAGCTGGAAATAAATCGAGAATTGGCGAGAATGTGTTGGATGCAGGCTAAAATGACTCGAGTACGGGTGAGGTACCTAAAACAGAATTTAACGGCGAGTGGAACGCGTACAGGTGAGATTGGATCTAGCATTGATGCGAATGAATCGTGCTGCACCCATTTTATGTTTGAACAATGAACATCCTGATTCCTGACTTTATTCAGCACTACCGAAAGTGACGTCAACCGCTGCTTCTAAGGTCCTATATTTTTGTCCCTCACTGTCCCTCACTGTCCCGTTACAGGTTTATATCTGGTCAGCCGCCCAACTACCACCAGTATTTCGAGATTGACCTGGCCTCGGGTCAGGTGCGCCAGATTCAGCCGGTGGACCGGTCCATGGTCAAACAGTTCACCATTACCGTTCAGGTGAGAGATGGAATGCTTACTGTGAGAAATCGCGGTTGAAATATGTGCTTGTTTTTTGGTAAATTTCGTGGGTGACCTGACAATGGCTAGATTTAGCATTGACTTATCCGGTTGAAACAAGGGACAAACCTGATTATGCAGAAATTTTACGATCCGATATAAGACGTTTCATTTCTCTACAACGCATACGTGTTCATATGCGTAGCTTATTAATTATATTTATCAACACATATTATGTATGATCGTCAGTCGTCATTATCAAAGGCTAGCATTTTTTTCACACGGTTCGATAATCCACACCTAACCCTCTGCCCTCTCTCCCTCCCTCTGTCTTCAGGCCCGAGAGCGCACGCCCTCCGGCCGATCTCAAACCACCGAGCTCATCATTGACGTCAAGGCCGTGGACACCAGCCCGCCTGTCGTCACTATTACGTCACCAGAAGGTGAGACAGACGACTGTGACGTCACACTGTGATGTCACCATTTGGCTAAAGCGGTTTATATGAGCTAGCCAGGCTGACAGTTTGGTTCAGACATTACCAAACGATATTTGCATCATGGCTACATATCCTAGACGATGCCGAAGTTCATAAGGTTCTCGTGTTGTAAGCTAGCACCATGGAGAAGATCAGAATTCAGGACTGGTGGTTTGAGAGCTGTCTTTGCTTATTTAAATCCGTATACACAATTTCAACGTAAACATTATGCCACACAACTTGCTTGCTAAGGGTTCTTCTTATGTGCTGTGTTCGGCCGTGCCCCGATCTTATTCACACTATCCTATCGCTGTTCCCCCAGGCTACGTTCAGGAATCGTCAGCGGTCGGTACCAAGATCATGGTACAGCCTCAGAGTCTGGATGTGATCCAACTGAGGGTCGATGATCCCGACTGGGTAAGACAGCTGCTTAGAGGGGACAGTGGGGCGACTCCTTATCACTTCTTGCAGCTATATGAGGTTAGAGTTGGGCCACGAAGCGAGATTACTAATTATGAACCAAACCATTCTTTATAATCAGATCGAAGTGCGTATGTGTCGATCAAACACGAAGGCGTTTGATCGACTACTATAGTCTGGCAAACCTAAGAAAGAACGGAGTTAAAGCTCCTGAATCCTTTTGCCACCTGTATTGATCACTGGACGTGTACTCGTATGGTTAGAAGAAAATTTATGTAAAAAGTCGTGAGAGATATATTCTTTAATATATTTCATTCAACATCACAGCGTGCGTCAATGGTGCTTGCGTTTTGAATCCGTTCTTTCTTGGAGTTGCCAGACTATAGGTGATTGATCAAATACGTAGGAACTGAATATATTACGTCCGTGCTCTTGTGTTTCTCGTTATCCTCTCTTCTCACTTTTTCTATGTTCTGCTTGCCTCTGTTCTCTCGCTCTCTCTCTCTCTCTCTCTCCCTCCCTCCCTCTCCCTCTCTCTCTCCCTCCCTCCCTCTCCCTCTCTCTCTCTCTCCCTAGCTCTCTCTCTCTCTCTCTCTCTCTCTCTCTCTCTCTCTCTCTCTCTCTCTCTCTCTCTCTCTCTCTCTCTCTCTCTCTCTCTCTCTCTCTCTCTCTCTCTCTCTCTCCCTCCCTCCCTCCCTCCCTCCCTCCCTCTCCCTCTCTCTCTCTCTCTCTCTCTCTCTCTCTCTTCCCTCCCTCCATGTAACACCTCCCCCCTCTCCCCTCAGACCCCCGGCGAGGACCGTATGCAGTACCGCTACGAGCTGACCACAGACGCGTTCGCCGTGGATCGGGATGGTTATCTGGTGGTGGCCAGAGGGGATCTGGATCGAGATCCGCCGGCGCCATCGCAGCTCACGTTCCAGGTATGAAAATACGGGGACTGAATGAATGAATGAATGATTGATTGAATAAATGACTGACTGAATGAATGAATGAATAAATAAATGAATGAATGAATGAATGAATGATTGATTGATTGATTGATTGATTGAATGAACAAATAAATAAGTAACCTAATGGATGCATAGGTACATGAATGAATAAATGAATGAATGAATGAATGAATGAATGAATGAATGAATGAATGAATGAATGAATGAATGAATGAATGAATGAATGAATTTATGAATAAATGAATGAATGTATGAATGAATGAATGAATGAATGAATGAATGAATGAATGAATGAATGAATGAATGAATGAATGAATGAATTTATGAATTTATGAATAGATGAATGAATGAATTTATGAATGAATGAATGAATGAATGAATGAATGAATGAATGAATGAATGAATGAATGAATGAATGAATGAATGAATGAATGAAAAGTACGATAACACAGCTGACAAACAGCTGATAATCTAAGCACGGAGATGATTGAATGAATGAATGAATGAATGCAAGAATGAATAGGTACGTACGAAGTACTAACAGTGGCGCTCTCTCAGCTAAACATCCTATATACGAATGAATCCCTGGCACCCTAGTACTGCCTCTACTAAGCTTGCCTTTTCAATTATAAATGGTCGAAACTATTCCGTAAGCGGCATGCTATCGTTATGTTATCATTACACACCTCTATTTGTCGCTGGTTCGATAACCAGGTACAGTTCAGCAAACATAAAATAAAGCCAGCGCCATCGAACTACCACATCTGACATCTCACCCTTTTCTACCATCAGGTGGTCGCCCGAGAGGTAACCAGCAGCGGACCGGGTAGGGCGAGTCTACCTGCCACCGTAACGGTCCACTTGCTAGACGTGAACGATAATTCACCCCAGCTGCCCATGTACCGGCCTGTGAGGATCGCGGCGGGCAGTGGAAGGAGGAGGATACTGCAGGTAAGAGAGAGGAGGAGGAGAGAGGGAGAGAGAGAGAGGGAGAGAGAGAAAGAGAGAGAGAGAGAGTAACATAGATAAAGAGAGCCGAGAGGAAGATAAAGTAGGATACCCTAGGGCCTAGATTACTGATTTCATGGGCAAATTACGATCGACTGAGGGCGGGAATTTTAGCTATTACCGACGATTTCTAAGGTAGGATGCATTTGGCGCCAGCGGTACATGTAATCTGACTTAGATTTACGACTTATGTCACCAAAGTATGCTGAAGCTTCCCGGTACATCTACACCTTTTGTCAGTTTATTTCGGTACGTACGCGTCCATTTTAGACCTAGCGGATTCTTTGTAGACATACCGCAAAGCTATGTATCAGTATAGCATTGCATGGCATGTCGGCCGTTTATAGCGGTGATCGGCATTAAAGCATTTAATTTCGGCGCAGCAACAAAAGACGCTCGGTTTCGGCGTGTCCGCATTGTATTTCGGCGATGCCGCTGGAGATTGGAGACGGCCGCACGATATTTAGAACAGTAGCAACCAAATTCGGCGATATTCATTTAATTTCGGCGGTTATTTGGAGGCAGGGAGAGACTTCTCGCTTACAAAATGAACTTGTTGGAGCATTGTTATTAAGTCAAACGTTTTAAAGGTGTTTACTGTTGCCACTGTCTCAATGTCTGAACTTTTGCATGCCTCTGGCCCTCCACCCTCTCCTTTATGGCCGATTATTCCATTCGCATTCGCCAGCGATGAGAATGATTTCATGTCCGTGCTTTCTGTGGGTTAAACAAAACATTTCAATGTACTAACTTTTATAAAGTAAGTACTAACATCACTGCAGACTGCAGAGGTACCTACCTGCTTAAAACGAAGACGGCGGAGAACAAAGCCAGACCGACAGGCTACGCGACTACTGAACTTTGACCTCGCCCGTGCGCCGGAGACGCCCGGTGTCGTCGCGCGGTTGTTCAAAGGATGCGCCGAGCACCTTCGTTTGATATGTGTGTGTGGGGGGGGGGGGGGGTGGGGAAAGGCGGGGGGCGAAGAAAGATTGCACCTGCCGCAGCTGCGAGTCTTTTCCATGGGACGGGTTACACTGTCGGCGCTAAGCCTTTGGTGGTGTTCATGGGGGACGGTGGAGCGGGGTGAGGAGAGGCGTGGTGATACGATACGGAATGCTGAATTTATTTTCGTGTCCCTTTGCACACAGTAGGCGAGGGATGTTTGATGTTTCACGCAGGCATGGTTGACCAATAGATCATAACAGGAAGACGTGCGACGATAACCAGTTGGTGGGACTCATTCTGGTATGGTTGATATAATTGTGTTATGTGTGATTCACATGGTGATTGGTTGTTTTCAAGGTGAAGTAAAATAAAACCTTCTGATGAAATGGGTTCATGTTTTGGGCAAAGTCTTGGCACACAGTGACAAGAGCACAGACATGCAGCTTCATTGAAAGAAAATCGGGGTTTGCCTCGAGTTCAACAACAATTGGCGTTTGCTTTGTCGATTGTCGTCCGCCATGTGCGGAGAGGAGCGGCCCGGGTACTGTAATAAAAAACGAAACCAGCCCACTGATGTTATCTTTTAGGATAAGTAGTACTTACTCATTAAAGCTAATCAATTTTTCATATCAGAATTCAAAACGAGAAACAGCGAGACGGCCTTAGGTAGGTACTGTGACGCTAAACAAACAATGGCCTGCTTTTCTCCCCCTGAGAATGTCTCAAAGCCACAAACTGTATGACGATTCATTTGATGCTCAAGAAGCGTTCCTGAAAAAATGAATCATCTGAGCGCCTCCGGTTACCCGCCGAAATTGAATGAACAGTGCCGAATTTGGTTGTTACTGTTGCTAAATCGCGTGCGTTACCTCTAAACCTGTGCTGGCGCCGCCGATTCTACTTGCGCTATCACCGAAAATGGAGCATATTGCCGCTGTGCCGAAATTGAATGCTTTACCGCCGACTGCCTAACCTGCGCCGAGATATTATGCGATTCGTGCACATAATATTGCGGTATGTCTACACACATTTCGTTAGTTCTAGAATGGACGATTTCACACCGAATTTAACTGACCAAAGGTGTATATCACTGTTATTTCCTTACGACTGTTACTAGTTACTTCTCTGGCCTTATGATACCATATGATTTATCGTACCCCCCTAAACCTAACATGACTTCAATAACCACTACGCCTCCCCCAGGTCCACGCCACTGACGTAGACGAAGGAGCCAACTCGGACATCTCGTACGGCGTGGTTCACGTCTCCAACAACGGCAGGTCCAAGTTCGAGATCAACTCGCGCTCGGGCGACCTGGACATCCTACAGCGGGTGTTTAGTGGGGAGCAGTACAGCATCACTGTGCAGGTGGGTGGGATTTGATAGATGTGGTGAAACGGTGTCTGCGGTGTCTGCATTTGGTATCACGGTGGAGGTAAAATGATGTGTCGCATTGAGGGTCCGGTTCCGTAATGACAACACTGCAAAGCATTACTCTGCATTATTGAGCAGAGTAGGATCTATCAGGTGGATTTGTGATGCCTTACGCCAACGGCATCATGATGTCGAAAGAACCTTTCCCAAATCTCATAGCTGAAGATCGACCACTATTCCTTCCCGTTTCCCATTTTTTTTTTTTTTTTTTGGCAGGCGGCAAACCGAAAGGTCGCCAGTCTCATACGATTGTATGCGTAACTGTTACGACTGCGCCTCGGATCCACTATCATTAGTTGATCCAGGCGTTGAGCGCACCGAGGCACGCTCATATTAATTTTTGTCTAAGTTCCCTCAGACAATTATGCATTGGTATAGTTGATGTTGTTGAGCTGGGACAGTGGTATTGTTCTTGGTAAAGATTGTTCAGGACACCAGCTTTCAGGTTTCAGGTTCAGGAGCTGGTGTCCTGAACAATCTTTACCAAGAACAATTATGTATTGCTTTGCTGATTGCCCCCTTTCCCCTTTTCCCGTCAGGCGGCGGACCGCGGCGGCCGGCAGTCCCAGACCATCGTCGAGGTAGCCGTGGTGCCCGGCCCCAACTCTGGCGGGCCCGTCTTCAGACAGAGTCTCTATGATGCAGATGTGTCGGAGGGGGCCGGTGTCGGAAGCACGGTGCTCACTGTGATGGTAGGTGACAGTAAGGTGACATCAAATCATAAATGACACTGATGACACTATGACACTGCTATGATGTGTCACTAATATGTCATTAGAGACTGAGATGTAATATGTATGGCATTTTTATTTTTATCAGGTGTCCTGACGGATTTAAGCTGATAGAGCTTGCGAATATTTTGTCGTAAAAATAGCTTGCATTTTTATGCAAGTTTTCGAGTTGCTTGGTTAACTCGTCAATAACTTGCATGTTTATTTTGGCATCGCACTTTTCAATAACGAAGCTAACGTCACGTAACCTTCCTCTGACCGTTATGCTCCTGGCGGTTGACTCTCACGTGACCATTTGACCCTGTGCCCGCAGGCGGTCGACCCCGAGGGCGACCCGGTGACCTATTCGCTGGTGGAAGGCACTGGTCTCGATCAGTTTAGCATCGGCAGAGCCACGGGAACAATCAGTGTGACCAGGCCTCTGGACCGGGAGCAGCTCAGCAAATATAATCTGGTATGCATGGAGAGGGGAGTGAACTTAGAGAGGAAATGTAAACACTACACTGTCATAGTTTTAGGGAAGGCATAGATAACATGAATCATGCTAACATGATTCATGTTATCTATGGGGAAGGATATTACAGTCTGGTAGCTGAGTTATGAAGTGGAGATACTTGCTATTCTAGCAAAGTTACACGTTGCGCTAGGGAACATTCAGCATTCCCCTGTTGCCTAGTGGCCTGATATTACCTACATGTTGATTTTTGGACCGTTACTCGGATTTTTATTTTTGTTGTTGATTTTAGTCAGTGGTTCAAAATAAAGTCTAAGAACATCTATCAATGACTGATTGTCTCAGTTCTTATATTAGGCCATGACGGATAACGATACCTTCTACACTTTAATCCTGAACCCTGGTCTCACTTTGGTCACTTGTCGTTTGGAGCGTTCCACGACAAATCGACAAGTGCCCTGCACCCTCATATTTTATTTTTTGCTTAAAATTGGTCTAATGGGTTGTGATGGGCGGGGAAGCCAGCTGTGACAAGGATTTTTTTCTTCGAACAACGGTTTCCGAGATATAGCCTCGGGCAATTCCTGGAGGTCGCGCTGCAAAGTGGGTGGTTGAAGTGGGTCGCCGATGCTGCCACCATCGGCGACCCCTTCACGTGGGGGTGGCGTCTCCCTCGGGAGCCAAGTTCGCCGACACACATCCACACCCTCGAAGAAGACGACTACCACCGCCTGCCTCGCCGGACCGGCGCGGGCGGGTTTTTGGCGGCGGGACGAGGGCTGGCCCACCTCGCCCTGCTACTGATGCGGGCCGGGGACGTGGAGTCGAATCCAGGCCCCCCTCCGCGCTACCCGTGCGGAGTATGCGGCCGGGGAGTCGGCGGCTCATCGGTGCGCTGCGGCGGGTGCGCCCTCTGGCACCATGGTCGATGCGCCGGACTGAGGCCAACGGACATTACCCGACTCGCGCGCACACGCGACCTCTGGTGGTGCCCGAGCTGCATCGCGCCGCCGCCGCCGCCGCCGCCTCGGACGCCGCCGTCGGCGCCGCCGGCCCCGCCTGCGCCTGTCACGGTGCCGCCACCGCCCGCTCCTCCGCGGGCTGTGAGACCGGCGCCGGGAACCCCGCGCACCGGGCGGAACCCAAACCAGACAGGACCCACAGCCATCAGCGGCCTCCTCAAGATCCTGCAGTTCAACTGCAACAGTCTGAAGGCCAGGAAAACCGAACTGGACAAGAGAATTGAAGACGAGAAACCCGACGTCATCCTACTCCAAGAAACCAGACTCCTGGAAAGCGATGAAAACCCACGCTTCCCAGGCTACAACATAGCAGCGAGGCAAGACAGGCCACACCAGGCAAACCCGAGCCCGTCAACCACCGGAGCAGCCCGCCCCGCCGACAGTGGGCAGGGAGCACCGCCTGGACCGAGCTGGACCTGCAAGCGCCGCGGCCCGCCGGACCGCAACTCCTGGTGCGCGGGCTGCAAGAGCCGTAAGAAGTGTACGGCACGCGCCCCACCAGCGAGCGGGACCGGGCAGGTGGCCACCCAGCCCCAGCCCCCGACCGGCAGCGACGGGACCCGCGGCGTGAAGGGTAAGGGAGGAGTCATGACCCTAGTGCGGGACCAACTACCGTACTCGCGGACCACGCCTCGGTATGCGCCAACTGAACCAGACGAAGAGACCTACATCACGGCCACAGAGCTCCACCCGCAGGGAACACCGTCAATAACCGTTGTCAACCTGTACTCACCTCCAGCAAGGTGGGTGGCAGGGCAAGGCACCCAAGCTCAACCGTTCCAGCCTGCCCGCATCTCCCTTCCCCCGAGATGCGTCATCGCAGGCGACCTCAACGCTCACGCCCACGTATGGGACCCACACCAACCAGAAGACGCGATGGGCCACGAAGTCGAGGACTGGTCGATCGACGCCTCACTGACCATCCTGAACGACGGCTCGGCCACGCGCATCAACCCAGCCACGGGCGGCCTGTCGACGCCGGATGTTACCCTGGCGACCGCTGCCGTGGCGAGGGGAACAACCTGGGAGATCGGCGAGACGATGGGATCGGACCACCTCCCGATCACGACGAGCATCCCTGTAGCTCCACCGAAGCCGCAGCGCCGAGGGAGAGGCCGCCTGTCCCTGAGGAAGGCAGACTGGCAGGAGTACCGCAGGACCTTCGACGACATCACAGGCCGCTGGAACGACCACGGAGACCTGACGGCGAGCGAACTCGACAAACGACTCACCGCAGCCATCACCCGCGCCGCGCGCCGCACCATCCCACACGGAAACGGCGGAAGGACCAGGGAGCCGTTCTGGAGCGAGGCGTGCGACGAAGCAATCGCGATCAGGAAAGAAGCTCGCGCTAAGGTGGCCGCGCCAAACCATACCGCCGAAGACGTCCGGGAATACCAACAAGCAAGGAAGAACGCGGACACGGTCCTGCGCGAGGAAAAGACAAGTTTCCTGCGCAAGCGCATCGCGGAACTGGGGCCCAACACCGACCTCTGGAGCCTCATCCGCACCCTGGACGGACGCAAACCACCGGCGAAACCAGCAGAGCCCCTCAACCGCGCTGGCCCACCTGGCCGCCCAGCTCGACCAGCAGTGACAGACAGGGAGAAGGCCAACGCCCTATGCCAGGCATATGCGGCAGTATCCCGGATCCCACACAACAAACAAGAGGATCGCGACATCAAGCTGGAGGCGCGCGCTGCAGTGAGTGCATGCGCATGCGACGCCCAACGCAGTGGACCGTGCGCGCCATTCACACCCGCCGAACTCGACGCAGCCCTGAACAAGCTCCAGAACGGGAAGAGCCCGGGACCGGACGGCGTACCCAACGAGCTGCTGAAGCAGATAAGCCCAACAGGCAAGACTCTCCTCCTGGCCCTGATCAACAAGTCCTGGACAGCAGCGGACGTCCCAGCCAGCTGGAGAACAGCAGAAATCGTAGCCATCCCCAAGAAAGGCAAGCCGCCGTCAGAGCTGTCCAGTTATCGCCCGATCAGCCTGCTCTCCACCACAAGCAAGCTCGCAGAGCGGATGATCCAGGCCCGGCTGCAACACTGGCTCGAGACGAGAGGGAAGCTCAACCCCAACCAAGCCGGTTTCCGCAGAGGTCGCTCCACCATGGACCAGCTCGGCCGAATATCCCAACAGATATTCGACGCGTTCGAGGAGAAGAAACCCCACCGGGCGGTCATGGTACTGCTGGACTTCGCGAGAGCCTACGACCGAGTCTGGAGGGCCGCCCTGCTCTGCAAGATGGCTCGGCTGGGAGTCCCCGGCTGCTTCATCAAGTGGCTGAGGGCCTTCCTGTCGGACAGGCGCGCCCGCGTCCGCTGGGGCGCTGCCCGCTCAGACCTCAGGGTCTTCCAGGAGGGCCTCCCCCAGGGCAGCGTGCTGGCGCCGCTCCTATGGCTGGTCTACGTCAATGATATCGACGTAGCAATGCCGGAGCACGTCTCGCGGTCCCTGTTCGCGGACGACGTGGCGCTGCTGGCATGCGCCCCCACTGCCAGAGAGTGCGACGCCCTCCTCCAGCCCTGCCTGGACGCGGTGGACACGTGGCTGCGACGCTGGAAAGTCATGCCCAGCGTGACGAAGTGCACCGCCACCCTGTTCACTCTCGACCCAAGAGAGAGCGGAGGGAAGGTCAAGCCGCACCTGACGCTGCGCGGAGAGGAGCTGCCCTACTCCCGCAACCCGACCTTCCTGGGCATTAAGTTTGACCCCCAACTCACCTTCGCGGACCACATCGACGACCTGAAAGCCAAGATGTCTCGACGGAGGCGATGCCTACAGGCACTGGCCGGAAAGACCTGGGGAAGCCACCGCCGAACCATCAGAGCGGCCTACATCGGCTATATCCGGGCCCTATTCGACTACGGCGCCGCCGTCTTCGGGACATACGCCGCCCCGTCGGTAAGAGGACGCCTCGAAGCCGAGCAAAACAAGTGCGCCCGCGTCATCACCGGCTGCCTACGTGCGACCCGGAAGGACGCCCTCCTGGCCGAGGCTGGCCTCCCGACACTCTCGCTTCGGGCCCTACAGCTGGCAGGCACGGAGTACCAGCGTGTAATCCGTCTGCCCCCGAGCGACCCGGGCAAGTCCCTCTTCCGAAGGGAGGTACAGCCGCGCCTCCAACACCGAGCCTACAAGGCATGGCAAAGAACATGCAACGACGCCACCGCCGCGGGAAGACCACCGCCCAAGCCTCCAGACGAAACTGCAGCACTCCCTCACCGACCGTGCCTCAGGAGGGTCGGCAAGTGGCTCGCCGAGGAGGCAGGAATCGAGGAGCTCCCGGTGGAGCCCATGGCGTTCTACAGCTGCGACCCGCCATGGCTGGGCCACCGCGGCGGCACCACCTTCAGGGTAGACCTGCCCGTGGCCACCCGCCGGTCGGACCCGCCTGCAGTCCGCAGGGAAGCTGCCCTGCGAGCCATTGCAGAGCTCCCGCAACCGGATATTACTATCTGGTCGGACGGCTCGGCTCGCGGCGGGATGGAACAGGGCGGCGCAGGCGCGCTGATCCAGTTTCACCACCTCAACTATGAAGAAACCGTGCGCGCTCCTGCAGGGGCGGTCTGCTCCAGCTTGAGAGCAGAGCTGACCGCCATGCGCGAGGCGCTCGCGGCTGTGGCCGGCCTGGAGGAAGGGGAGCTGGCATCAACCAAGTCGGTCCGCCTCCTCACCGACTCAAGGTCTGGGCTACAACTACTCGGCCGCGGCCCAGCTAGCCAGACCATGGCTCTGGCCGCCGAGGTCTGGAGGCTGCTGAACACCCTCGCCGAGAACGGCACCGAGACGGTGCTCCAGTGGGTGCCAGGCCATGCCGGGCTGGACGGCAACGAGACCGCCGACCGCCTGGCTGGCGAGGCCGCGGCGGGCGACCAAGATAGTGCACCGATTGACCTATCGAGTGCGCGGGCCGCCGTCACGCGCCATGTCCGGGAGCTGTCGCGACGGAGGACAACCGCTGCCCACCCGCACCCGGACCCCACGCCTGGCCACGACTCCCTGGCGCGCTGGGGGTCGGTGACGCTGTCCCAGCTGAGGACCGGCACATCACCGCTGACGCGCGACACGCTCTACAAGATTGGCCTGGCAGCCAACGACGAATGCCCCGCGTGCGGGGAGCCCGACAGCGTGACGCACCTGCTGACCGATTGTCCGGCCTATGAGGCGGCCCGCCGCCGCCGCTGGGGTGTCGACCCTCGCCTGGTCGACGTCCTCGGCGGCCCGGCGGCGAGGGTCGTCGACTTCATCGAGGGTGTCGGGCGGACCGAGCCGCCGCTCGACCCGCCTGCGCCGCCGCCCCCCTGAGCGGGCTGGCGGCGGGATGCAGAAGAAGAAGAAGAAGGTCGCGCTGCAGCCCTATGTTTGGCGGCCTATAACTCAGAAACTATTGGTTTTCTACGATAAAAACTTTTTATGGTTCAACTCACAATCAGCCAACAAACATTTTGGTTATCTCGGATTTTCAATTTTTGAAAAATTTTGATCACGTGACCTTTTGATCTATTTTTCGAAGAGTGACCTTGATATTTTCCCCACTGAAAGATGCAATTTTGTCTGATGACGATTAAAGCCTTATCAATTGTCATTCATATGCGAAAATAAAAAAAGTGGATATCGCCCTGCGTTGACCTCAGGTCAGGTCATTTTTATGACCTGTCCATTATTACGAGCGGGAGCGACAGCGAGATCTCGAGAATAAAGCAAGATAGCGACAAGCGGTAAACGGTGCAGGGTACACACGGATAAGGTCTATAATTTTCACTGAGGTCATTTTCAGGTCAGGTCAAAGATGACGTCACAGGAGCAAAAAGGAAGTCGAAATTGCGGCACTACATATATATGAAGTTTTTCTCGAATAACTTTCAAGGTACCCCAGCTAGGAACAAACTAATAGCACCATCGTGATCCTCTCGTCGATTCGCATCGAAAGATATGTATGTTGACCTCGAAAGGTCGAAAGGTCAAAAGTTGACCTTAGGTTACGTGACCTAAGGTCAACTTTTGACCTTTCGACCTTTCGAGGTCAACATACATATCTTTCGATGCGGATCGACGAGAGGATCACGATGGTGTTATTAGTTTGTTCCTAGCTGGGATACCTTGACAGTTATTCGAGAAAAACTTCATATATATGTAGTGCCGCAATTTTGACTTCCTTTTTGCTCCTGTGACGTCATCTTTGACCTGACCTGAAAATGACCTCTGTAAAAGTTATAGACCTCATCCGTGTGTACCCCGCACCGTTTACCGCTTGTCGCTATCTTGCTTTATTCTCGAGATCTCGCTGTCGCTCCCGCTCGTCACGTGACCTAAGGTCAACTTTTGACCTTTCGACCTTTCGAGGTCAACATACATATGTTTCGATGCGGATCGACGAGAGGATCACGATGGTGCTATTGGTTTGTTCCTAGCTGGGATACCTTGAAAGTTATTCGAGAAAAACTTCATATATATGTTGTGCCGCAATTTTGACTTCCTTTTTGCTCCTGTGACGTCATCTTTGACCTGACCTGAAAATGACCTCAGTAGAAATTATAGACCTTATCCGTTTGTACCCTGCAACGTTTACTGCTTGTCGCTATCTTGCTTTATTCTCGAGATCTCGCTGTCGCTCCCGCTCGTAATAATGGACAAGTCATAAAAATGACCTGACCTGAGGTCAACGCAGGGCGATATCCACTTTTTTTATTTTCGCATATGAATGAAAATTGATAAGGCTTTAATCATCATTAGACAAAATTGCAACTTTCAGTGGGGAAAATATTAAGGTCACTCTTCGTAAAATAGGTCAAAAGGTCACGTGATCAAAATTTTCAAAAATTGAAAATCCGAGATGGCCAAAATGTTTGTTGGCTAATTGTGAGTTGAACCATATCAAGTTTTTATCGTAGAAAACCAATAGTTTCTGAGTTATAGGCCGCCAAACATAGGGCTGCAGCGCGACCTCCAGGAATTGCCCGAGGCTATATCTCGGAAACCGTTGTTCGGAGAAAAAAATCCTTGCCACAGCTGGCTTCCCCGCCCATCACAACCCCTTACACCAGTTTTCAACGAGAAATAAAATATGAGGGTGCAAATTTAATTTTTTATTTGTCGATTTGTCGTGGAACGCCCCGTTTGTTGGAATGAGGAGCGCCCTTCTCTGGTTGACGTCTGTGTTTCTTGTCTCCCCCGACAGATGGTGCGCGCGTCGGACCCGGATGGTCTGGCCACCACAGCTGTGGTGAATATCCGTGTATCGGACATCAACGACAAGAACCCGCAGTTCCTGAACCTGCCGTACACCTTCCGCACGCGGGAGGGAGAGACGGATCTGTTCGTGGGACGAGTTAGGGTAAGTGTGAACGAGTTAGGGTAAGTGTGGAGCTGTGAGTAGAGGGACGAGTTAGGGTGAGTGTAGGGAGAGGGACGAGGTAGGGTGAGTGTGGACGAGTTGGGGTGAGTGTGAGCAGAAGAATGAGTTAGAGTGAGTGTGGAATTTGGGGACGAGTTAGGGTGAGTGAGGGGAGAGGGATGAGTTAGGGTGAGTGTGAGCAGAGGGACAAGTTAGGGTGAGTTTGAGAGAGGGATGGGTTAGGTGAGTTTGGGACAGAGCGACGAGTTACGACGAGTGCATTACTGCAGGTCACGCGTTCGTATACTGTTCCGTTTGTCAGTAGTAGCGATCAGTGTTCGAATAATGCAGCTCTCCGTCCTGACGTTCGGAATCTCTACCTCTTCCGTAGGCGGTAGACGAGGACGCCGGTGCCAACGCCGCTCTACTCTTCTCGGTGCCAGAGAGCTCTCCGTTCTCCATCGACCCCACCAGCGGGGAGATTCGTACCAGAAGGCCACTCGATTACGAGAACCAGGGGGTAAGTCGGATTGAGGGGATACTGTCAACCTTCAGAGGGACAGTTATCCTCCAATAGAGCAGTTACCCATGAAAGAGGATTAATCAGTAGAGACAGATGCCTGTTAATTCAGAACACACCGTACTACCAAGAGGCAATTGCATCACGCAGTGGAGCATTGGGCAGTAATCGCCACGCATTGTGTATGTGGATCGCTCTTAAATGTAAATACAAATACAAACAAAATACAAATACATTTGTAGCCGTCGTCAACTTCTTACCGTTTACACTCTACAAGGGCCACTTTTTATCTGTACAGCGGGCACCCGCATCATGCATTTGGCCGGGGAAAGAACGTCCCGTAACCGGGCACATATATGTTACAGACCGTATGAAAACTCAGTCCGTTTGCAAACGGCCTGGCCCAGTCAGGCCGTTTGAAAACGGCCTGAAAAAGCCGGCCGTTTGCAAACCGCCTGAAATATCAGGCCGTATGAAAACGGCCTAGGCAGTTTGAAACAGCATAGACGGTTTGAAAACGGCCTAGTCAGTTTTCAAACGGTCTGGCGAAGTACAACAGCCTCTGAAGATTGAACTTAATGGATCCAGGTTGGTCGATGATCAGGTAACAGGTTGCATCCATGTGGCCAAAGGATTCGTCTACATACGTCGAACATTTTCTTACTGTGCTGATGCTCGACCCGGCCGTTTTTCGACCAAGTTCACGGTCCGCCTGTGTACGGCCATCCAGTTGATGGAGCCTGGTAAAGCCACTACTGGTGAAGTCTGGTGAAACGTATCACTACTAGACTCACCGATTATTTTGCGGCATAAAACGCAGGAGCGCGCAATGGACATCAGAGTTCACCAGTGGCGCGGGAACCGAGGGGGGGGGCTAGCGGGGGCTGAGCTCCTCCAACTTTTCGGCTGGGGGGGGGGGGCTCGTAATGTATTTGAGCCCCCCAGCTGGAGGAATCGAAATCGGAAATCTACCAACATAATTTCATGGATTCATACATAGGCGCGGGAATCGGGGGAGGGGGCAGTGGGGGAAGCTTGCCACCACAGCTCTGGGGCCGTGGGGGCGGTGCCCCACAACTTTTCATGAGGTCAGGAACCGTTGGGGCAACTTGTCCTCCCCAAATTAGGGGTTGTGGGTCACAAAGGAAGAAAGCGTGTGTGTGAAAAGTCCACCTCTTTCACTGGCTCGGCAACTCATTTGGCAGATTAATACCTTTATTCCAGGTTGTCAAAACGGTAGTTTTGGCTGAGACGGAATACATGACTTTTTGCAAATATTTTCTCTTTTTTGTTGAAAAGGCCAAGGTCTGAAAAATAAGTGGCCTAAAACCGGTGAGAAACCTACATTTGGGGGTACCCTAGGTTGATCTCTATTATGGTTCAGCCCCCCCCCCCCCCCAGTCTGGAAGAAGTTCCCGCGCCACTGGTTCACATTAGAGTCCTCACCGCGCCCGCTCGACCGCCGGCGGCTGGCCGGTGGCGTACGCCGGCAATACTCGACCATTGCGGTGGAAGGCGAAACTTTGAAGTCCGGGGGAGGCCCGGGTCGACCGGGCGCTATACGGGCCGGGTCTCAGTTCTGCTAATCTCTTCCTGACCAGGCCTGCATTCATCATCGGGAAAATCAGGGAGAATTGTCCGGAACTAGCGAGAATCATCGGGGATCACGAACGGTATCGCGATAACGAGACATGCTGAAGATAGGCGCTCAACAATAGTTTTGCGGCGGAGAACATCCGAGTGACAATATTTTTCCGGATGCCGAATGCACCTCAGGATTTCATGGTGTCATGTAATGTCATGAAACGGCCGTGCTTCAACAAACTCAGCATTGTCCAGCTGTAACGTCATGCAGACCAGATTGTTTTCAAAATGCCTAGACCGTTTGCAAACGGCCTGGTGTCTGGAAAGTTGTCATACGGCCTAGACGGTTTGCAAACGGCCTTAACCCTCGCCCGCACATGGGGGGGGGGTGGTTGCCACCCCCCCCAGGCAGTCTTTCTGCTCTGCACTCAACATTTTTAGAGCTAGAAGGCTGATTTTTCGTATAGCTGCTCCTCTATCCTTTCTTGATGTCCACTGAAAATTTCAAGTTTCTGTGATTTTTGGTTTCGGAGATATGACCTTGTTTTTCAGGTCATGTCATGACCCAAATGGCCAATTCTCAACATCTTGCGTTTGCCATGGGCCTTGTGAGCTTTTGACACCCTGATTTCGGCCTTTTTTGCCAGTCTTACCTCCCACCTATCATGGAACATGTTGTTCGACGATGTACAGGGGTCAAGGTCAGGGTCAAGGTCAACCTAGGTCATCTAAGATAATTGCGTTTTAGGCAAGCTGAATTTACTTTTTGTGAAGTTTTTTGACTGCATTTTTGGTAAAAGCTTCTCAGATCATGATTTCATGTGATATGGACCCAAAAACAATCGGTGCAAACATCAGTATACACACAGACACACACAGACATACAAACACATATAATTGACCTTGACCTAACTTGACCTGAAATGACCTCAGCAGCAAAATTCTGGTCGGATAGTGTGACAAAGAGGTTCTAGCTGGCTTGGCACCAGAAAACAGCATCGTCATCGGTATTTGATAAGCAGCGCACTTGATATCCAACGGTGACCCAAAACAGCAACATTTTTTAGTTTGACCTGACCTGGAAGGTCAATGACTGACCTGAGAAGGTAAAACTGGGTATCATTGGATTCGTCTCTTCCCAAAGAATCTTTTTGGTCTTTACTGCTAAGCTCTATCTCCAACAGGAACGAAATGGCGCGGGGGGGGTGGCAACCACCCCCCCCATGTGCGTTCTAGGATGGGAAAATGGCATGTGCGGGCGAGGGTTAAATTTCAGGCGGTTTGCATACAGCCTGGAATTTCAGCCCGTATTCAAACGGCCTGACTTTTCAGTCCGTTTGCATACTGACTGGGCTGTCCAGGCCGTTTGCAAACGGCCTGAATCGGGCCAGGCCGTTTGCAAACGGACTGAGTTTTCATACGGCCTGTAACATATACACTACAGCGAATTTCTTGTATAAACCCAGCCCGTTAATTCGTTTTTCAAAGTTAACTCGAGAGGTGCGTGCAAAAATCAATCTCTGTCCGTCTCCCTCAGGTGCATTACCTGGTTGTGACGGCTAAGGACGGCGCTGCGGACCCGCGGATCGCCACTGCCACGGCCACCATATTTGTCAGCGACACGGAGGACGAGCCGCCCGTCTTCAGAGAGACTCGCTACGACGTCTCAGTGCCCGAGAACACGCCGTACGCGGACGTTGTCAGGGTACAGGTCAGTAGGTGAACATGTTGTATGATGGTGTGGTTGGAGTGCAGGTTAGTTAGCTGAACATGTTGTTATAGGTCAGTGAGTTGAACATGTTGTATGGCGATGTGGTAAGGGTGCAGGCCAGTCAGGACATGCTGTCAACTCTGGGTGCACGTCAACATGTTGTATGATGATGTCATCAGGCTTCAGGTCAGTGTGGTGAACATGTTGTATGGTGATGAAGTTATTCATCAGTTAGAACATGCTATACGCTGATGCGGTTGAAGTGAACGTGTTGTATCTATGCATGCTGGAAGATTTCAGGTCAGTAGGGTGAACGATTGTTCGTTTGTTTCATGCTAACATCATATGCACTGCTTTCAGGCGGTGGATCTGGACTCCCGGCCTTCTATTCATTACGTCATACGGGAAGGATCGCGTGACTTCTTCAACATTAACCCCGAGACCGGTAAGTACTTTTGCTAGCTACTTTGAACTTTTGCATCCCTAGCTAAAGTCTCACCTATCAGAGCTAGTCGGACTGCTACACATGACAAATGTCTATTGTCTAATGACCGTTATCTCGCTGTTGGAGCACCCACATGTGACATCTCGTGACATTCCTGTGGCCCCTCTTTGACCTCTCTAGCTCATCATTGACCTTTCTGACCTATCTGTGTCCCTTCATTAGCTTTATCGAGGTCTTTTCGTAACCTTATGATCAACTTCCTACGTCGTTACCTAACTATGACCTCAGCATGACCCTTGTGAACCCCCGTGACCCCTATGTGACCTGTGTCTCAGGTCTGATCACCACTCTGCGTGGGCTGGACTATGAGCGCGAGAGTCGCCATGTGCTGGTCATTGGAACAGAGGAGAATCGAGCTGACTCTCCCGACGCCACGGCGACTGTTATCATTCAGGTCAGAATTGGGAACTGCTGGAAACAGCACGTGGGTTAAGTTGGTCTGGGATCTATTATTTTGGTCCTTTGTGCCCTCTTCCATGTTGCGCAGCATTGTATCGAAGTTGGTTTGAACGTGCTGAATCATGAGTCATTGACAAAATTCATATATTTTATGTCGATCAGTCGCATCATTCAGCAAGTATTATAGTCACATTATTTAATGCCTTCCGCTTACTTTCATCACTTCATTCCGGATGTTTCATCTTGGTATTTCAATTTGTCTAACCTCAAAACAAACGTCTCTCTGATTTCCATTACAACTCATGTAGTGCATTGTTCTTTTCTTTTTACGATTCTGCTCATCTCCACCATTTCCATCTAATTCTACCAACCTTCGCCAGGAGACCCGATAATCTGACCTAACCTGACCTATTTCTCACCTTCTCCCGCTCAGGTGGAAGACAGAAACGACCTGCCTCCGGTATTTACCGAGGTACCGCGTCCCGTGGAACTGAGGGAGTCGGACCGGCCCGGTCAGGTCATCGCGGCTCTCAGAGCTATCGACTCGGACGGCACCGCGCCTGGTAATAAGGTAAGCACTGTCACGAACGAAACCAATTAGCGTACTGGGAGCCAGAGTATATGTTTGTGTACCAACTTTGGAGTATGCTCTGGCAGAGAATATGACCTTGTGTCTAGTAGCAAGTTACGGAATTCATATGTAAATAACCGCAGATAGATGAACAAGTAAATGCGCGTTGCGTAAAGAGAGTTGACTTCGAATCCCCTTGGCTATTCCGGTAGCGATGCACATTTTTCTTTCCTCTTATAGACTGTCCTCAATAAAATGATTCATTGGTTGTAATTGGCTGTGAGTCAGTTGACTGTAATAGGGTTCACACTTCACGTGCGTAACACATACGATGTGTTACGTGCGGGTGACGACTGTCTGTCTATGTGTGAAGGTATATACGTCAGTTGTGCTATTCTCGGATACCTACTGTCTACGCGTGATTTTCAGGTGCGGTATGCTGTTACCGGCTCCGGTCGAGCTGAGAGATTCTTCACGGTGAACCCAGAGACGGGAGATGTGTCCATCAGAGAACCCCTGTCGGCAGGGGCAGAGACCAAATACGAGGTAAGGAGAGTGGGAGAGAGAGAGAGAGAGAGAGAGAGAGAGAGAGAGAGGGAGAGAGGGGAAGAGAGAGAGGGGGAGAGAGGAGGGGAGGAAGTGAGTTGTCAATAAGTATTTTGGAATTTGTTGTCGAGAAGTCCATATAAAATCGCTAAAAAAATACAATTAGCGTCTGGCATATTACTAGTTTTTCCAGACATTTCCTAGTTCTCTTGTTTTTTGACGATTGCATCGTTCGCTGAGGAATTTCCTGTCATAGCTACCAATCACATTTTATTACCTGTTCATTTTTTCAGCTGGAGGTGACTGCGTTTGACCTGGGAACCCCGGAGCTCAGTTCGTCCGTCCTTCTGCCCATATTTGTGGAGAGACGGGGACAGCCCAGCCGGCCGCTGGAGCCCAAAGGTAGAGAGATGGAACCATTGAGAACAACATGTTATAGATGAACATAGTGGAACCACATTGATAAACGAAACCTTATGAGAACCTTGTGCTAGAAATTGGACCTGTGCAGCGGAAGTCAGGGGTAGATGCTTTGGCTGATAAGAATCAAATGTGAAAGTTGGACCACGTTAAAAGCACGGGAAGCAATGAGAATGGGAGCAATGGGAAACTTTTGGAAGCTGTTTTTTTTTCGAAGGAGGCTCTCAGTAGATGCTTCCGTAATGTCGCAGTGAAATGTGCACATGGTGTGCCGACTTGAGTCTCCAAACCGCTGTATTTTACTCATGACTTTCTGTTTGCTCCCACAGAAGGCGTCTCATTCGCGGATCGGGAGCACTCTGTCGAACTAATGGAGAACGCGGCCGCCGGTACCCTGGTCAAATCCATCACCCTGATTAACGTGCCGAGGTCGGCGGGCGACCTGCGCTGTGACGTCATCGGAGGCGATGAGGAAGGTATGACGTCAGTGCTGACGTGGTTGGTAACGTGGGTATGGAGAGGGATTGGAGCGTTTTGGTGAGATGGAATGCTAGGTTTTCAGGGAAGGGGCTAAATAATAGCGTAGGCGAATCGCTACGGTGGGCTTTGGAAATGCAATCTGACTCCTGTTCTTAACACTCAAACAAAAATAGAACATACAGCAAACGTTTAAGTTTGTTTGGAATCACGATGTCGCCATGATGTCCATAGCTCAGTCCCTCAACTTTAACTTCCTCGCAGGTCATTTCTCTGCCGTAATACGCGGTGCCTCGTGTGAAGTCCGGGTAGCTACTGAGCCCATCGACTACGAGCAGCAGCAGAGGTACAGACTGAGACTGAGGCTGCGGTCCTCATCGGTTATGGTCGACCCGGCGAGGGATATCGCTACGGTGAGTAGGGGTCCGCCACAGCCTGGACAATGTAACGCATGTTATGGTGAAATCTGGAGAGCGATCGTCGGTAATTGTTGGACAAGACTCTTCAGCTGCATTGATGTGAATTTTCTCTTTTTTCTCTTTGTGGATTTATGACTTGGCTTAGGCTGGGCTGCCGGCTGGGGATTCTCTTTATTGTATTTGATCATTTTAATGCATTGTTTTATTAATTGTGGTGGATATTTTTTGTCGAGAGTCCATATTTCGATGTTACTCTTGTTGTTACTCTTGTCGTCCCATCCCATCCCACAGCTGTAGTTACCGTGCCGTTTTCTGTCCCATAGCTGGTGGTTAACGTGACCGTCCAGGACCGTAACGACCACCGTCCCGAGTTTATAGTGTAACTCCCGTCTGTTAGTTAATGCCCCATTCCATTCCACAGCTGGTGGTTAACGTCCAGGACCGCAACGACCACCGTCCCGAGTTCATATTGTAACGTCTCGTCTGTTAGTTAACGTCCCATTCCATCCTACAGCTGGTAGTTAGTGTTCCGTCTGTTAGTTAATACCCCATTTTCTGTCCCACAGCTGGTGGTTAACGTGCAGGACCGCAACGACCACCGTCCCGAGTTTATATTCAGCCAGGCCTACAGTGCCGTGGCGCCGGGACGGTACCTGACTGCAGTCGACCGCGAGGCGCAGCTCGGTACAAACGTCATCAGAGTGCAGGTCAGTGACGTCATCAGGGGATATGGTCAGTGACGGCATCAGGATATATGCTAGTGACGTCATCAGGAGGTATGGTAGTGATGTCATCAGAACATATGCTAGTGAAGTGACGTCATCAGGAGGTATGGAAGTGACGTCATCAGTTGGGACAGGCTAGTGACGTTTATCAGTTGGGACAGGCGAGTTTCGAAAAGCTTATTTTATGGACTCTGTCGTTGAAAATACTTCTGCATAACAGTTTTTCATAAGAAGAGCAAGGATTTTTGCCTGAATCTGCGATGTTCCTGTGTATCCACATTTCACTCAGTTCACTAGCTCTGTATGCATTGTACTCTTAGTTCTAGCAGCAATAACGCTTCGAACAATGCTTGACAAAGATTACTTCACTTCGATGGTATCTGAAGTCTGTCTGTAGGATTATGAAGTCTGCTGTGCTCTCCAGCCTGTCTTTACTGACTCTATGAGTTCTGTATCGCGCGCAGGCTCGTGACGGTGACGCCGGCCAGTACAGCAGGATCACGTTCCACATATCCAGCGACTCCAACCAGTTCGGCTACTTCGACATAGATTCAGAGTCGGGCATCATTAGTACGGCCAAAAGCTTCAGGTGAGAGTGGGGGAGGGGAGGGGAGGGGGAGGGGGAGGGAAGGGAGGGGGAGAGAGAGAGAGAGTAGATGAAAGGATAAGGGAAGAAGAGAGCGGGAGTACTAGAGGATAGGAGTGAGGGAGGAAAATTGGGACGAAGAGAGACGAGACGTGACTATTGAACATTGGAAAGATATATAATCGTCACATGTTAGTTCGTTATGCTTTGTCACCTCGCTTGAAACAGTCAAGTCTGATGCTATTTTTAACTTGCTCCCAAAGCCCAGGTGACACCGTTTTTCCCGTAGCCCTTCTAATGCCACCACCCTCACGCTGTCTGTATTTATTCTGTCCACAGGTCTGTGAAGCCCGAGCAGCTACCGTTCAACCTGACCGTGCTGGCCCGAGATAGCAGCAGCACTGGCGATATCATGGAGACCAGCGTACCCGTCCTGGTTAGTAGCGATTTTGGTATATGTGGCAGGGGTTTAGAGGGGACAAGTAGTGATTTGGTGAGACTGTTCTGGATAGTAATGACTGTAATGGGCATCATGTTCTGGATACTTATGGGCATCATGATCATGGGAGAGTGTATGCCAGTATCACTGGAGAATATTACAATCGCATGGAGATACATTTCAGATTTAAGAATGATATTAGTATAACGCCAAAATTGTGTTATATCAGTTGTCAGAATACCAGATTATCATATGTTTGTGCAATCTTTTCTTATAATTCAGTGCTAATGTCCTAACCACGTGCCAGTCTAGTGAGTCTCTATTTTTACGTCACAGCGTTCTCACTTAGAAAACTAACACCGCTCGATGCTCCTCCACAGATAAACCTCATCACCCCTGAGAACCGTATGATTCTGGTGGTGCGTGACGCGCCTCCAGAGACGGTCAACAGCCACCAGGCCAAGCTGATCAAGGTGCTGCAGGACCTCGCTGGAGATGGTAGGTCACCGCTGGTTGGAAAGAAAGTCTTTGTGACTAATAGGTCAACGTTGATGATAGGTCGACCGGACTGACGTTAGGAAGGACTGGGCTGACGTTTAGTTGGTGGCTCTAAAGTCATTTTTTTTTTTTTTGGTTTACTGTTGATAATGGTGAAATGATAATCATTGATGGCTAGAAGGAAGCACTGAAGTCGGCTAGTAAATGATGCTGGTGATACTATTTATGGATGCATAACTCTTGTTACCTGACCTCAAACCTCGCCCTCTGTTCTCTACTCTATGACCTTTGACTTCCTGACCCTGACCCTTGACCTCTCACGTCTGACTTCTAACCTCTGTAGTTTGACCATTGTCTTTTTGACCTCTGTCCATTGACCTCTGTCGATTGACCTCATGAACTCTGACGCCATAACCTCTTTAACTTGACCTTTGTCTCTTTGACCTATGTACCTTGACCTCTGACCCCATGACCTCATGACCTCTGACCCCTTGACATCGCACATTTGACCTCTAACCTTGACCTCTTCAGATCTGGTGGTTGGCGTGGAACGTATCGACTCCCGTCGCTACATCTCCGAAAACGGCTCCATCGAGACAGATCCAGCCGGCACTGACGTCTGGTTTTACGTCATCGATCCGCGCTCTGACGTCATACTGACGCGCCGCAGCGGCCGACTGGACAGGTACGGGGTGACGTCATACTTGGGGATACTGGAGTGTGACCTGAAGTCATACACGGGAGGCAGAAGATCGTCCGTAGATCTTAACTGTGGGTCTAGTTGGTGAAATAGCGAGGTTTTGCTTGCACTAAACGATTTAGTAGTTGCTTAATTTGATGTTGTTATCAATAAATGTAATGTTGGAAGGTTAGAACTAGAGATGTTAATCGGATACCAACTTTTTGGTATACCGATACCAAACCGATACCAACTTGGTATTTGGTATTTCAATCGTACTGTGTTTGGTATTTTGTTGGCATCATGAACCCTCACTAATGTATTAGAGGCCAAGAAATCGGTAAAAAGTTGGTATTGCCCTCATTTTCCCAAGTTGGTTTGATTTCGGTATTTCCCCATGGTTTTGGTTGGTATTTGGTTTGGTATCGGTATTCCGATTTTCCGTAATTGACATCGCTAGTTAGAACGTTCACGTAAACTCACTTTATATTATTTCATTCGCTTATCAGTGTTTTTTTTTTTTAATGTCAGCACAGCAATTAATTGATGAGCTTGTATCGGTCCTGTCCCCTATCAATGCACTGTCACTATAAGTTGTCATTAATAGCTATCAGTTGCCCTGATCGAAAATGTCCAAACATACGTCTTAACGGCACTAACAAATGCCATCCCACTCATTAACATGTAATATGTCTCGCATGCTAACTCTTTTTCAATCTCTGCAGCACAATCACCGGAGCCCGGGCGCGCAGTCAGATAGCCTACTACCTCTCTGCCGGCCTGGGGGCCCGTGTGGAGGACGTACGCGGCCCCCTCGTAGTTACCCCAACAGTCACAACGCGACAGGTTACCCATGGCACGGTAAGAAAGAGTGGGGAAAGGGGGCGATTTTGCGGTCTCAACCTGGGTATGTGTAGCCATTTTATGTGTCCTATCGCCTCATATCATGTGCATTTGCAAAAAAAAAGATAAGCAAAATATTTATCGAGCTCCGATAAAAAAGATATATAGCCGCTTCCTGAGAAAAGGAAGAGATTTGACTTGAATGCTTCATTTTTATAAAGTCATTCGCTTGAAATTCGCTGCCATGGTCACCATTTTCCTTGATTTCACAAGAAAAACAAGAGAAACACGAAACAAAAACTCACCATCCCCCGTTGTTCCTCCCTCAGGCGCTGGAGAGTTACCAGGTCGCCCTGCTGGTATTCGGCTGTCTGATCGCCTTCGTCAGTCTATGTGGAATTATCCACCTTTGCACACTATGGTCCCGGTATAGACGACACAGGCGCTCCAAGTCGGAGGGGACGCTCATTATTCCTAAATATGAGCCGTATCTGGTGGAGCCCAGTCTGAAAGAGTATGAAACGCAGGTGAGACGGGGGCAGAGGTCTGTTTGAGGCTTAGGGTGGTCCTGGAACGTTTAAACGATATCATGGCGGCAATACAACAATCCAGGCGTTCATTTCAATATTTCGTTTGTACGTGTAATTATTGATATATGATATTGATAAATGATATGATATTCTCTATGTAATTAAATTGTCTTTTCAAGCTAAGAAATGATTGCTCCTTTAGTTAATCTCGACACTATTGAAGTAGTGGCATGGAGAAAGAAACCGCTTTGATATAAAGGTTGACGACATGCGAAGTTTTCATGCAGAATGTCGTCTTTTTTCTTAAGTTGCGGACATCAGAACATTGCTGTCGTCGAAAGAACCGTTCACGCATTCTCATTCTATCTCGACTATCATGATTCTCACATGACTCTAACTCAGTTTCACTCGTTCTTCCATACCACAAAGCATTGCATAGGATCGTACCAAACCCTCACTTATCCCTCCTACACTTCAGGTACTCCAAATGAGCGTGCCAGTGGACGACGACAGCGTGAACGACTTTCAGCTGGATTTCCGGAGCGATCAGCCTCACTATCTGAACCTAGATAGCATCAGCTACATCACAAAGGACGGCAACTCGTCCACAGGTCGGTGGCAGTGAGATGGGATTAGAGAAGGCCGAGACGTGTTAAGAGAACCCTGAGGGACACACTTGGATATCGATGTATGCGTAGAAGCTTCCTTTCCTGAGAGACATGCGTAGAGGAACGGTGGTATCAGGAGGGAACAAGTTATTGTATGACTAATGAAATGTGAAGTTTGTATGCGTTCTGCTCTACTTGGCTTTCTTTTCTTAGATTATTTTCGGTGATACATCGACTAGTGAAAAGAAAGATGTTGAGTTTATATGGTGAGCGAAACGTTGGAATGTCAGAGAATTGTGATGAATGCTGGGTATTGTGTGTCTTGATGCCTCTGGAGTAGCTGCAAGCTAAAATGGAACTAAGTTAGATCGCTCCCTATTCATCTAGATGCTTAAACTGATAGTATGGGTTTATCTTACACGTTCATGTGGCTGTCTTACAGCCTAGTTCTGACAGCATGTCCTTCGCCATGTTCACAGGGAAGGACTCTGGCCACGCCACGCCCTCGGACCACCACCCGATGAGGTCGTCAGATCCCTTCCAGCCCGACAGCAGATTCGACAACAAGATCATCAGGTGAGGTCATCATCAGCAACTTCGTCCGCTGGGTGGGGGAGGTGTAGTAATGCAGATAGTACTGGGGATAGTCATGGCGAGATGTCTTGTATATAAATACTTTAGGATGTAGTGGGTAATACATAATCCCGCTGTCTTTGGGCTGTGGTATGGATGATTTTGCATGGTCTAACTACTGTGGGGTTCATGGATGGTACGGATTTATGCATGAAACCGATCGCATATTTCAAGAGGTTAGAGCTGCTAATGGTGCATTACATTTCGCCTGAATCATAACAACTAATATTTAACTTACACCTTTCTTCTTAGGCTGTTGATAATGTCGACATTTGTAATGATAAGCATGTCCTCCATGGGTCTGATGCTGTACTGATGACTTGGCAGCAAGTGCATTTTCCTGTTCTTCCATGCCCTTGCCCAGTGGTGTTTGTCGGTGCCCCAACTGCCTTATTTCTGTCCTCCATATTCATTAGCCTTTTCGAGAAACCACTTAACGTACAACATTATTTGAACTTCTAGCCCTTACTCTGCGCCATACCATAAAGTCCGTCATAAGTCCTGTATGGGTCTCCTCCTCCTAATGGTTCCCGTTCTCTCTGTGTATGATTCCATCGGTGACAGAGTTGGTGACGGCCGCTGGTGCTCGTCTGGTGCTGTGGTGCTCTCTAACCCTCTGTTCCTCTGGTGCCTGCCTGGTGCTGGCTGGTGCAGTGAAATTCACGAGGAGATCTCAATAGTCAAGGACGGGGTTCGGGAGTACAGGGTGACGAGGGACGTTCTACGAGAGGTGGAGCATGTCTCGGAGGAGCTCAGCGCCTTCGACAATCCCCTATATGAGCAGTGAGTTACGGGAGCACCTGAGGGGGCTCACATGGCACATGCTGAGGATTTAGCTCTTACCAACAGTAAGTCACTGAGAACACTTCGGCCACAGCTCTACTGTCTACAAAGATCGTGTTTCGTAACCAAGATTCTCCGTAACTGCACCGACAACCTGTTAGATCCTTTGTGGTACGCGGGCTCGTTTTGCACTTTCTGTCATGATTTAACTCGGATGATTGTTTTAATGGGCGTAGAAAGGCTTGCATCCAAAAGGGAGCTTGCTATGTCGCCCCACATACCCACCATAGGTCTGCTGAAAGTCCACTGCTGAAGCATTAACCCAAGGTTCGGTACTGGTGACGGGTCAATTTCTGCATGGCACAGTCCTCTTGGGTTCAATAGTCCGCTGAACGCTGCTCATCTTGCGTGGTGTTAAATATCAACAAATATCGTCAAATACAGCCGAACGGCGGCACGCGCAATAACGTTACTATGCACTGAAACCGCTTAGCTTCACGTTGAATAGCTTCATAGACTGAAATATTAATTTACTTTCTCTAGAACTTATCAAATGACAGCCTTACATTTTTGCCTTCGCATTCTTAATTTGTAAATGCATTTGAGCCTTCGATAACGTCCAAGGTTACGACCAGATGAAGTTATCACATCAAACTAATTGCTGTTTGAATGTTGTCTTGGAAACAATGTACTCATTTATCCAGCGCTGATTTTCTCGGAGGTTAACTTCCCCTTCACCATTCCCTTCAACCTCATCACCAGCCTGCTCTTCGACAGGTCCTCCTCTGAAGACGAGGTGGACGCCCAATCCATCAGCGCTACCAACGAGAACGTCACATTCCGGGAGAGGCGCGACTTCAGCTACCTGCAGAGGTCGCCCGTCGAGTCCACCACCGAACTGTGATCGTGACGTCACGAAATGTCACGGAGTGGTCACGGAACGTCACGAACTTCCATGGAGTGGTCTTGGAATGGTGCGAAATGTCACAGAATGATATGAAATGTCATGGACTAGGGCAGAATGTTACGGAGCATAACGGAATGTAACGGAGTAGGATGGAGTGTCACGAAATGTCATGAAATATTGTACAATGTCACGAACGTGTCACGGAATGTCACAAAATGTCATAAAGCGGCCATATGATGTTATAGAGCGGTATGGAATGTCTGAAGATTGTTACGAAATATCACGGGATGTTACTTAAGATCACGAAATGGTACAGATTGTCTTGGTAAGGAACAATCATTACGATACGAATGTCGTGAACGCCAAGAATCAACCAAGATGATTGAGACATCGTGGGTTGTACTAGGCGTTACGGTGTGTACATATCTTTACAGAGTGTTGCCAAGCGTAACGGATGGAACGTCACGAACGGACCGTCACGGACAGAGCGTGACGAATTATTCGTCACGCACGGAACGTCACAGACGTTTAAGGTGGTATCAGCCTGGACTGACTTGGGAAAGGTAGCAGGTGCGTGCTATTTTTCTCTGACGAGTGACCATTGTACTCTGTGTTGATTGAAACATCGGTGTACCGGCGAAACCATTGTTGAATGATGGCTGGTGCGTTGATAAATCGCTCTCGAATGTTGTTTAGTGCCAGAGCGTTGTCCTTCCGGCAGGTATGATCATACTTGGTGTCATACCTAACAATAGTTTGAGGACACGTGACATCTCAGCGCCATGCGGTGTGGTCAGATGGCCATACTCGGTGTTTTACGATGCTTTGTCACCATACCTGCACCCATACAGTGTGGTGTCAGGTAGCCATTAACCATACCTGGTTTCATGCCGAGGTCACCTGACTATACTAGACGTCATACTGCGGTTAGACTGTCATACTCTGCGTTATACAG